CTTTGAAGAGCACCGCATGCGAAGCCTCTGATTTCCGGAGATAATGTAGAGCCTCCATCCATTTTGTGGAGTTTGTATTAAACATGAAGCAAGGCAGAGAGCTCCATAACTTCAAAGAAAACGATTGTCTTGAAATCTTGAGAACATCTCTGCACTACAGTCTATTGCTCTATACCCTTGCATAACTTCTACCAAGCCAGGGATATTACTGTAAAAACTCCGGTCCATCGACTCCTGTGCACGAACGATCACCGTTCATGAAGAGTGTTTCTCACGGGCCTAGAACGCATGATTTATCTTTGCTCGTTTGGTAGAGTCAGTCATTATCTTGGATGATATCGCTTATCGTTTTTATCTCCAGCGCAGCACGAGGGCTTAATGGCCGAAGGGGATCCGCCACGGATATACACTGTGGTCAGAAAAATTGTTCACCCCACTGAGGTTTGTCGGATCTGTTGCGAGGGAAAGAGATCCAAACGCTACAGGCTACACCTGAGTTATCTTCATATCTTGCAGTGCACAAAATACCAGCGAAAATCGCCACTCACTACAGATGTACCTCCAGGTTACACAAGAGGGGTCCGCACTAGGCTTGTAGATTCCTATTTGCATTTGTTGCCATCAGCAAGCATCTGAGCTCCTTATCACAGTGCGTCAGTAGGGCCTGTTGTCTGACGGAAGCAATGCATTCACATCGTATATGAAAATGATTGGCCATTGGCAATCGCAGCTGGCACCGTTTAATTAACAATTTCGCCATTTTTAATAAGTCATCATCTCGTAAACAGAGAATATCGGATTTCGTTCTAAGCCGCGGAAACTCTTCTTTTTAAGATTCTCTTGAAGCAAATCAGTGTTTTTATTTTCTTGGGGTTTTTTTTCTGTTGTTGATTTTTCTATGTTTGGGAAGCCCTGTTGTGTCACTAGATATATATTTTCAAAAGGTGAAGTGTATTCGAAGTCTGTTTTCGGGAGCTACATTTTTTCCAACTTCGTTTTTACGAGATGTAGGTTTTTCTGAAAATCGTTATTCGAGAGATACATTCAAAAAAATTTTAAAAACAAACTTGAAAAAAACCACAATTCACTTATTGAAAATAAGCATTTGCTGGCACTGGGCTTTCGTATGTTTTGCTTGATTGGTTGTAGGTTTTTTTTTAGGCCGTCACTGCGTGTTCCATGAACACCGGCGTAGTATCAGCTGGCTTGCTGGAGAGACGACTACGTTTACATGATGCAGACAACTCCCGCGCTCCCACCCACTCCCACTCGTCTCTGAAGCAATGAGTTTCGAGCACAGAATTACAGCAACGAAATAATGGATATGTGGGGCAGATTTTTCTTCTTCCCGGATCTATAATTATAGAAAATAATGAGCCAATTTGGTATTTTGGAAACAGCAAGGTCATTCGAGAGCTAAGTATATGACGCTGCGGCTAGCAGTAGACAGGGCCGACCGTGTCTGCGTGTATTGATGTTCTCGATTAATCTATGTCGCGTTTTGCTTCAAGCATGCGCCGTTGAAATAAACACACACAGTAACTCATTGTTAACTAGGCGTTGTCCTTGAGCAGGAAAACCACAGCAGCCAATTTCTTTTTTTTTTCAATTCTTCAGTCATCACCGAATTTCATAGGAAAACACAAGTTTACACTTTCCAAAACTGAGTCTTTCACTAGCGATTTCGTTTATTCAATATTTCTGCCTGGCTCTAGGATTTTCACCAAAATCAAAACCCCTTTGCTTTTAACTGAAATTATTCGTTTCGACCTACCAGTCGAAACTTTAAAATGCGTCTCTCGTTGAAACGTCATTTTTTCGGGTGTTTTGTAAGAATTGTGTTCGATCATATGGAAACAAATAAATAAAACGATAGCACCCTGGACTTGAGATGCAAATTCATTGACTTGGTATACATCGTCCAAAGAGCCATTATCTCGGTTGATTTAAGGGAACTCTTCTGTAAATAGAAGCACACCTGACTTTTAAACAGGTCCATGCAGGCATAATCGTCGTTTGGAAAACAGCTTTTCCGGCCCAAATGCCCCCCGTGCATTGTATTTCTTTATTGTGTCTCTTTAAAGCCTGAAGTGATTAATCTATTCTTGCTGTTATCGTTGGGGCCGGGGGGACGGCTGATTCGGCCCTGTCCGAATCTTGGTTCAAACTAACAACAGGCACGGTGCCTCCTGTTGCCCGTTTCGCACAGAGTACGTGTGAGACAGCTGCCAGATTAACCTCTACACGCATCTGTCCTTTATTTCAAACTCTTTCAGATTGTAAATCCGTACAGACACACACAGTGCAGCACAGTACTGTATCTTGAGACCTCAGCATGGCAGATAAGCACAATGGCAGTAATTTTGATCGCAAAAACCTTGATGAAGAAAATTGCTCTGCCACTCTCAGATCGGTACAACTGCCTGCATCTGGTTTCTTGAGATTCCCTCCTTAAGGCATACAGCTTTTCCTTTCGAATGATATTCACGCACGCTGCCATTTTGAACATCAGTAAACGCTCTTCCTTTTCAAACTTGCCCTCACCCAGCCTTGAAAAATGTCAAGTAAATACTCCACTTCTGCAGAGCTTACTCATTTTATTCATACAAAATGAAGCAACTGCTTATTGTCAAGCACAAGCTTAAAGAGTAAAAAGTAAATACTTTTTAGCAATTGCACTATAGTAAAAGTATTTGCTTCATTATTATTCATACAAACAAGAGTAAATGCATCAAGAATTGTAGCAAAGGCAAATGTTACTTTTTATTCATAAATACCCTCACTTGTACAAAAAGTCGAGGAAAAATAGTCCTATGTGATTCCATTCTCGAATGCAGTGGTTACCTGACCCAAAATAAGAGACATTTGAATGTGTATTTATTCAACTTGATTTCATTCGACTAATCCCAGATCCTTTTAATCATCCCAATCCACAAAATAACCGAGAGACCCCCTTTGAGTTAATTTCTTCCCTAAATTCGTGTTTTGTTCCGTCAAAATGCTCTCCTATTTCTGCACTGCTAATCCTGATTCGTACTGTCAGAAATACCGTCGTTTGATGGAAGTACTATTTCGACGGATGGAAATTTGATAACGGAAACATGTGGAAAATAAATTAGATGTATTGACAGGTGTTTCTTTTTTTGTGAATGATAAACGTACATGTCCTTTTAGCAGCACTCTAAAGTTGAGACCCTTTCCAAGAGAGACTTTTATACTCTTGTTTGAATATAAAAAACCACCGTGAAGCCAAACTTGATTATCAGCATTATTTATTTTTAATGAAAAAAGCAAACTTGACTGTATCTCGAAGGATCTTGATGAGACTTGTTTCTATTTGGAGTTGAATAATTGCTCGACTATCACTATTGTTACATCTCATAATAACAGTAGGCTCGATTTCAAAATTCTTTTTTAAAATTTCCGTTATGAATCAAATCCAGATGGAAGGATCTTTAAAAAGTCTCGAAAAGGTCTCGACTACAACGCTACCCTCGGAAGAAGAATTGCTATATGTCCAAATCCACAAACGAACAGCCAAATGTGTTCATACCTGAAGGCAAATATCCAGATATCAAGTCTTCCAAAACGTCATTAATATGTAAAACAGCGACAGAAAAACACTACTAATGTTTACTATTACGGTTCAAATCTGCTGCATTTAAACACCTGGCGCAGCTGACCGAAGGAACAAAGATCGCACAGCGCTTCTTATAGCCCCATACGCGGCGCTGTACGATCTTTGCTAAGGAACGGGCAGTAATGATGATGGCTGTGTTAATCTTTCCATTCCAGAGTTGTATGCAGCAGGCAGTATACCATCTTTCAGTTGTCAAGAAACCTTTCACTTCTCATCATTTTACACGACGATGTGATGACAAACGCAATGTGTGCTTGTTTTTTCCTGCGCGTAAACCTCTCGCGTGCATTACATCGGCTTTTGTCCGACAGTTCTCAATTCCAGGGAGGTCGTGAGATATTGTTTTGTCCGTTTTTTTTTTTTTTTTTTTTTTTTTTTTTGTTCTTCATCTTTTTCATTCCCGCTTCAGTCCGGTCATATCACCTCAGGTGCACCCACAGGCATGAGGGAATTTTTACGGGCCCATTTATGAGTGATGGATTAAACAACTTCGACGTCCGCAATGCGCCGTGGGTTGGGATGACAAACAAACCATGCGTTCTATGAAGAATTCTGTCGAGGAAGTGAATCAGTCAGAAATAAATCTCTAATTTTCTTCGGAATATTTCTCAGGTACCCGTTTATTGAGTCAAAGAAACACGCATGGTATGAAAGAAATGTTGTCCAAATATCGAATAAATGTTCAAAAATTTTAAGAAGAAAAAAATTGTCATTGAGTGTCTTTTTTTTAACGGGCACCATTTACTTTAGACTGAAAAATAAATGTGATTGGTCAATGCGGGGTGAATGAGCTTCAGGTCCTGATTTCTTGACTCTGATTGGCCAATTCTAGATTATTGATTTTCATTATCTTAGTCCATGACAAAATCTGGTGGTCTTGGAAGGAATTTCCCGAAATTTTCCTTCTCTGTAAGTTTCCAGTTAGCTTCACGGTGTGAGGTTTGTAAATCCTTTTACCCAAAAGTTACAATGCAAGACAGTGTGAAAGAAGCACGGCTTGTATGGAGCATACACTACAATGGAAACCAGATTAATGTTTTACAGTTACACTTTTTCATTGAGTTGTGCATAAAAAGAAAACAAAATTTATTTTTGACTGGTTTACCTACCCACAGATTTATTCATAGAATGAATAGCTTGTTTGTCATCCGAACTCACAATACATTGAGAACGTGTCAGTTTGCTTTGAAGTAAATTTCCAAGAACCATTTTTAATGATAACAAACCCATATTTTTCTCTCCTTTTTTAAGAGAGATCCAAATTCACCAGTGCATTTCGTCTCAACACATGCATTTTTCTGTCTCTACTAAATAACAAACAGGAAGATTTGTTTTATCGGCTGAGTTGTGACTGCTGACGATGGCAATGGATGACACTCTTGTGGGCGACATTTACATCAACATGACACGCGAGGCACAACTATTTGTTGCCGTTTACGTCACTACATTGGGTAAGTGTCCTTTGAATAAATTTAAATATTTTAATATATGTTTAATATATTATTTATTAATTAATATATAATTTATAAATTTCAATTTAAATGAATCCGTTTACAAAAACTTGTAGTGCACATGAGAGAGCCTCTTCATAGATTCTTTGCATCGAGAGTTTCATGTATATGTTGGTGTACTATTTACGACACACATTTCTCTCTCTCTCTAGCCTCACTCCAGGCGACGCAACTACGTGACGCAACGGCACGACGGCTCCCTTGCGTCGTGCCGTCGGGTCGTACCGTCGCCTTTTTACCATTACCTTTGTACACACACGTCGCGTCGTGCCGTCGCCCGTCGCGTCGTGCTGCCTTAGGTCCTTTCCATGTTGCATTTTTTGTCGCCTAAACGTCGCCCCTTCCGTCGCCCGTCACGTCGTACCGTCGTGCGTCGCGTCGTACGTCGTGTCGTGCACCGCTTTGCTTATTACGTCGCCGGAAGCACGACGCGACGCACGACGCGACGCGTCGTGTGCTGTCGCCCTTTGCTTCATGGTGTTTATAGAGGGCGCCTTTACTGTTTTCTTTCATTTCTGTCCCCCGTGCTTGCAAAGTACATGCTATTTACTCTTTGGTGTTGATTTGTTCTTGTTTTTATCTCATCCTTTCCTCGATTAGGATTAATTTCTGTCATATTTTATTAAAAAAAAGAAAAAAGAGCAAAACGAAAATCGGCATATGTAGGAACTGCTCTCTTATAATAAGTGGCAGCCCAGACTTTGTCACTCGTTAAACCCAGCCAACGATTTCTTTTTAATACCGTCGATGCAGTTCCCATTAGTGGTAGATTTGTAACCTTATAGACACCGGTATTTCTCCGTGGTCTATCCCGGTAATTTCTAAGTAGTACTCCCCATTCCCCAGACAATTTGTCTACAATGCAAGTTTGACCACGGGTTTAGGAAGTTACCACCGAGCCTGCTCTATAATACCGTCAGAATATTCCGTCTTAGTCTTCCTTCAGGTCAGTCTTTCTCGTTATCTTCATCAGCACCACACTTTCAATGATATTAGTCTGTGTTTCAAAATAAAACATTATACAGACGCTATTACCATTGTGGCCGTGTCTTTTCTTCAACTCTATTTGGCCACACACGTAATTTCTCCTCAGATCCGTATGTTACATTAGCAAGCGCGTTATAATGATTAATGTATTTTATCTTAGAATAGATTTAGAAATGTTGTAGCGGACATAATATGAGAATCATGACACCTGCTTACATTATTTATTTGTTTACTAGTTGACGCCTTTTATTATCAGCTAACCAGTGCGAATTAATTCGTTTCAGGCTAAAATAGAGAAAAGTTTTCGCACGGTTTACGAAAACACAAATATTCTCACGTTAAAGAAAGCACCTTTTTAATAAGGAGAAAAACCAGGGAGTCTATGTAACAGAAAATGTTATGAATTAACAATGAAAATAAATAAAGGGCCTAGCTTGAAGACGATCTATTGCTGAAGTTGGGGACGACTTGACTTGGCTTATCTTGACTTGGCAAGTAGCTGTAGAGCTTGCAGTGGAAAGGCTTGCAGTAAAAAGAGCTTGAATGGATGTCGAAGATGTGTTGGGTTATATGATGTTTAGGGCTCAAGTGCACAGTCTTTCCTTCCCCTTGACTAAATCAGGTTTCGGAACGGAATTCATGTGGCTCTGGTCCAGGCTTCCCAATAACAGAAACAAGACCTGCTACCTATTCGCTCTTTGTACGCTACCGCCATGAGGCATGCAGAGCCTCGATCTGGCAGCTTTTTCCGTGTATGTTGGTAAATAATTTTGGGCATGATGTTGCGTTAGTTTTTCTACCATCTACGATTGGAGAATACTTCAAAAGCTGTCAGTTCAAGGCTCTGCATGCCCATGGCGGCAGCGTATAAAGAGCAAATACCATGTACTGGGTGCATGCAGTCCACTATTCAAGTAAGAATTTTTGCTCAGTTCATTAGCATTAAAGGAGCAGCCCAGCATTTTTCTGAAAAAAGGAGATTGTTTGGCCACCGAAATGGTGAGATTGTGTAAATCGTTGCCAGGATCAACTGCCTGGGTCTTTGAGCTATCCTATGAGAGTAGAATGGGTTAAACTACAACTGAAAAATGGTCCTAAGTGCCCAAGAAGGTTGAGGGTTGCCACTTGAAAAACGGCTGCAATCAGACTTCGGAAAAGTCACTTTTCTGGGGTAATTTTGTTTTGTGGGAATTATCAAAAATGTAATTGGTTAGCCCACGATAAATTTAAAGGAAATCGAAAGACTAGGGACCAGACAATAATTTTATTTGTGCCGATTTTACACTGTTTTCAATGGGGCTTGAATTAGTGGACTGTACCCTACTATTCAAGTACTGGGGCGGAAATGAAAAAAGAAACAGTAAAAGCGCCCTGTATAAACACCATGAAGCAAAGGGCGACAGCACACGACGCGTCGCGTTGTGCGTCGCGTCGTGCTTCAGGCGACGTAATAGGCGGCGTGATGCACGACACGACGTACGACGCGACACACGACGGTACGACGCGACGGGCAACGGAAGGGGCGACGTTTAGGCGGGAAAAAATGAAACATGGAAAATACCTGAGACAGCACGACAAGACGGGCGACGGCACGACGCGACGCGACGCGTCGTGTGTGTACAAACGTTATGGCAAGAAGGCGACGGTTCGCCCCGACGCACGACGCAAGGGAGCCGTCGTGCCGTCGCGTCGTCTGGAGGAAGGCAAGAGAGAGAGAGAGAGAAATGTTTGCCGTAAATAGTACACCATATATATACGGGTGTTAATCTCTGTCGATATATGGCACCCGAGAAACAAAAGCGTGTTCCTCCAAGATGGCCGCCACGCAAACTCTTAATGGACATAACGTAACCGAGGTACGTAAAGACTGATCACCAAGGCCCCTTATAACTGTTGGAATATTGTTACAACTGTTTAGTTAGGGTGAAGAGTAGGCGAGCAATGAGTAGAAGGCTGTGCAGGGGAGGTATGTGCGGCGATAGAGGAAGGAATAGACAATGCGGTTTGCTTGGCTTTAGGATCTTGTTTTATTTTACCAGGTATTAATACCATCACATCACGTTTTCTGAATTGCAGGCACGGTAGCCACCATTGGCAACATCAGTACACTCATCATACTTCTGCGCTTCAGCACCTTCCGCAAAAAATCCATCAACTTCATCCTGATCAACATGGCGGTCAGCGATCTGGGTGTGTCAATATCTGGATATCCCATGACGTCATCCTCGGCCTTCGCCGGTCATTGGCTGTTTGGTGACAGTGGTTGTCGGTATATCGCTCTTTGCGTGTATACTTTCTCGTGCTCGTCAATAGGATCTCACGTTGCACTGGCCGTCTACAGATACATCTACGTCTGCAAGCCGTCTTTGAGTGAGTAGCACATAACTTTGCCTTCACTGCCTTATCACGATAGCCAACAAATAGCAGACCGGCCTTTTAAAAAGACCCGAAGACAAGGGGGTAGATTTGAGACTACAGTATATTACTCGGGATTTTTTTAACCCACCAATGTGGAAAATTCAAATAGTAGGGGCTACACTTTTTTAAAAATCATTTTGGCAACGACTTGTATTGTCAGAGTTAACTCTCGTTATAACAAAGCTGCACGCACCAGACAAATTACTTTGTTATAAAAGGAGTGGCAAAAGAAACAAAAACAAAAGAATCGAAGAAAATTGGATTTACAAATGTTTCTCTTTATAACAATATTTTGTCAAAACAGCGTTCTTTATATCAAGAGTCGGCTGTAATTTTTTTTTTTTACCTAAAGATCTGGGAATTTGAAATGCACAGTGACCGTCCCTTCTGGTCAAAAGTTAGGGGAGAGGTAATCACATCCCTCGAGATCCACACCGTGGATCAAAGCCTTGTGGAACTTGTGTTGAAGTACAGTTTCAGACAGATTGCATAGATATCAGGCTCACTGTTGGGGAAAGGCCGGAGGGGCATGGAAGTTTGTTTTTTTCCCAAACGACTTCAGTTTTTTTATCCGTAAAGTATTCCACCTTATCTCCCCTCCAAGAATTTGGTCGTATCGTTTCTAAAATGCTGGGGCCTTCCAAGTCCCTATAGAAAAAAGGAATTTGTGACATTTTCCGCCCCCGATACTCCACCGCGTAAACATGTTGAAGAGGGAACTGTTCAAATGAACACTATGCCAGTGAACGAAGGAGATGTCATAATATCGTGAAAAATACTTGCCTGTCCTACAAGCGGGACGATAATGGATACAGCATTAAAAAACTGTAGATGGTGCTGTAATGGAGAAAGCTTAAAAAAACCACATGTCCTTTCATTTTTTAAGACGCATGATGAAAGCTCGTGGAGCTCTCAGTAAATAGAATTTGTTGGCCTAATGATGTTGATTTGCCGTCATCACTTTCAAATGCGCGCGCGGCTGTGGACTGATAGTATCATCATGATCGCGCGTGGATGCGTGTTTGTTTTTTTGGGTTTTTTAAATTTGTTTTTATTACACAACTGTCTGGGAAAACACCTTGTACTTAGAGGAGACTAGTCTTCGTGTCTCGTGAAATCTCATCCTGTAGAACTATCGGACTTAAACTCTCTTTGAAAAACAAATCCACTAGAGCCACGATTGTAGCCGTTATCAAAATCGAGAATCCCCCAACGTGTTGTGTAATTTTTTTTTCTTTGCCGTCTGAACCGTATGGCGACAACCGGCATTAACACAATACGTGCTCATAAAGCAGCTTCAAGTTTAGCTTAGAAGCACGGCATATACAGCGCATGAAGTAGGCGAGCGGACTGTATTGAATCGAATCTCGTAAAAGTCTCCTCGCAAGAGCTTTGAGTTCAGTGATCCCCTGCCAAGACTAAATTATGTACTCGTTGCCAAGTATATGCCAACAGTATAGATGCCCACATTTCGAGTAAGCATCCCTTTCAATGTCATGCAACACGTCCGTCTTCGAGAATTTTGGAGAGAGATTTTTCACTCAAAGGCACCCTGGGATAATAAGGCGATTATAGGGAGCAAACGCTCATTTGAAGCAAAATATGGGACGGAGAGAACCCCCCGCCTTTGTGTTGGTCACTGTTTGATCGGAATCTCAGGAATTCTTTACAGACTTCTAGGGGGGTATGTGTTAGGTTACAATAGTCTAGAGTGTGTATAGGGATTGGACAGGTAAGGGGGGGTACCCCTCCGTCCCATATCTTGCCTGGTATACAAAAGCTTAAGACAACACCACGTATATTCGCGGGCGATAGGTACGCGGGATGAGTGCTGATAATGCAGTGGTGAAAAAGATGACGAAAGCATTGTAATGTATGGAGGGTTTGCACCATGACTTCCTCTGGCCATCAGTGTTTTCACCCACTATAATGTCTCTCACAGAGCACAAGCTGACCCCAAAGGTCACCTTCAAGGTCATGGGGATCATCTGGGCGTATGTGTTCTTCTGGACCCTCACGCCGTTCCTGGGCTGGAGCAGCTATACATACGAGCCGTTCGGTCTGTCCTGTTCTCTGGACTGGACTGGTCGCAGTGTCTCCCACCTTAGCTACAACACGGCCTGCGTCTTGGGTGTTTTCTTTGCACCCTTGATTATCATTCTGTACTGTTACTTCCGGGTAGCCAAGCGGAGTAATCAAGTGGACCCGACCCGCATGGAGGAGAAGGACTTAGGCGTGGTCATGTTTCTGCAGATGCACAGGAAAGACGTCAAGGTCGATTTTCACGTGACAAAGGTGAGGGCGTTCTGGCCGTCGTATCAACTGAGTGTGTGTTCTGAGTTGCCCAGGCACGGGTTTTGCTCGTGTGCCTAATTCAACTCCAGGTTGAGTGCATTTTCAGTAACCTAACTGCGCCCAAATTATTCCGTGTATGTGCCTGCGAAACGGCGCTAAGGGAGCGTGCCAACCACATTTCCAAGGGACCTCCCTATGGCTACTTCGCTCGTCCCCACCGCCCTTCTTGGGCGCTCGGAATAGCAAATGCATGACGCAAGTTTGCTTGAGCCTCATTGAATACAGCCAATGGTTCTGGTTGCAGACCACTAAATAAGCTGCCATAGACTACAGTACAAAATACCCCAAGTTTAAAAATAATCAGTATAACTACTCACAAGTTTTTCAGGTGCACAAGACACATGTCAAATTATAGCTCACTTCGTCATCTTTCATTATTCTTTCATTTTCAGTGACTTAACCAATGACTTTGAAGATATTTCTCTCTAGAGATAATTTCACCTCAAAACACGAGGCGAAACACACATTTAGTCATCAGGAATAGTCGGGTGGCTGGCGGTCCATTGAAATTAACGTTCACTTTTGAATCTGGTGTCTGGTATATTTCGCGTGGTGTCTTGAAGAACGCAAACACGGATTTTAAAAAGGTATCCTGCCAATTTGCAGCGTCACATTTCAAATAAATATGAGCATAAATGGAAAAATAAGGTATGATTTATGAGGACGTGAAAATACCCAACAAGTTTGAAAACAGGTGCTGTTATAGAATCAGTATTACACCAAATACACGTTCGAACTTAATAAGTCACTTCTACGATATGGTTCCCGAATTCTTGGATAAAATGTGCGGAGGGGTTCCCTCCAAACAACGCTAATCATTCACAAAATCTATATAAATCTATAGTTGGTGTGTTTGTAATATGGGGGGGGGCAGTGACTTCACTTCTACCAGCCAGTGCTTTTCACATTTGTTGACAGATAGATCCCCTGTATCGAGTAAGTTGCAAAGCGCCCTCCACAGTTTCTGAAAGAAATAACCCTTTAGAAGGACTTAAGTCCAGTGTTTTGAATACGTTTGTATTGTTCCTTCAGGGGTGCAGACAAACAACAGTTGAATTGACCCCTCTCATATTGTTTACTATTCGTATTGGTGCACTATGGCCGACGCATGTGGAAACATTACCCTTTTTGTTTTCTGCTGACGGTCCACCCATTCCGTCTACCTATAGCGTTGTTAATAAACGAGGAATTACAGCAAATACCACCATACGAAGCTTGCAGGTAATATAGGCACCTGAATCACGGAACAGCATTTTGTGGCACTGTGGGCGCAAGAGAAAGAAAAAAAAGAGATTCGGGTCTAGCAGGTTTGTGTTGTTTGTGAAAAGGACTGATACTGACGTTGTCCGTGGTTCGAATCTCATAGGATATTTTTTTAGCCATGTTTCCTGTCGGAAGATTTAATTTCCGACCAAAATTTGTGGCCTTCAAGTTTGTGGTAATATAAGGGAAACAAGAACGCTCATTTTAACGTGTTATCGACTTTAGTCTAACTTACAAGCCTTTTCACCCGTATCAAATAATTTGATGATATATTACCTCCACATTTGAAATGTTGGCAATTAACTGTAAAAGCCTCGTTTGTAGAACAGCAATGGTTAGTCGAGTCGGGTGCAACGCCAGCCTGACAGTTTTCCAGCAAGTTGTAGATAAACGGTACGACTGTGACATAAAAAGATCTATTCAACAAACCAACCACATTTTTCTGTCTCGATTGTTAATCTATACGAGCAGAATATGTAGAATATGACTTTTCCGCAATGTTCATGTTCCCAGATGTGTATTATGATGACGGCAAGTTTCGTGATAGCTTGGACCCCGTACGCTGTCGTCTGTATCTGGGTGGTTTTCAGCAGACTTGAACTCAACACAGCAACGGCCCTGGCCCCAACGCTTTTCGCTAAATCCTCCTGTATGATGAACCCCCTTATTTACTTCATAGCCAGCTCCCGCTACAGGCGAGACTTTCTCCGGATGTTCAGGGCCTCGCAGAGTGGGGCACCGGCTTTGCAGGGCAGCGGCGGCGGCGCCGGTTTGCCCCTGGCCGACGTGAGCCGGAGTCAAAAGGCGGGACCGTCCACGGCCAGCGACAACACCCGAGGCGCCCTGTACCTCCGTCGGACTACGTCGCCCTCGGGAGATGTGTCGGCCTCCATGTACTTCAACAAGGAACGCATCTACATTGGGGATATCAAGCCATCAGGCATCGACAGGGAGGCTAAATTGATCCATAAAGACCCTGATGTGTTGTCCATGTCTTCATCCAACACCTCTGAGTACCAGGTCGTTGTCAAGGAGACGAAAAAGGCTGAGGAGCCCACAATTGAACTGGAGATAAAAGGGGAGTAGAAGGCATCAGCCTCTAGAGAAACGCACAAAAGTATCGAAATAATCTCGTTTCCTTCTCATGTTTCCTACTTCACGTAGGGGCGCACATGAAGTGTTTGCACACTTTCAAAATCAAAGCAACATGACACTGTGTGAAGTGCACCGGTATTATATTATAATAGCCATCTGAACTACGGCTCAGCTTCAGCATCATAATGTTGATGGGCACAAAAGGTGGGAAAAGGGGTTTTAATCGAGCTGGCTTGCGTGGTGAAGTAGGTAAGGAAGGACAGCCTGAAATGACAGGTCACACGGCGATCTTCGCCTTCCGCGGCCTGCCAATGGAACCTTTAGAAAATATGGGACCGCCCTATCAAGTTTGATGATTTTGGAAGAACGGTTTCCAAGCTGAAGCCACTACTAGCGGCACTCGGGTCGGAATGTATGTTTGTGTTTTTCAAGTAAGTTTGTGGAAAAATTGTCTGGAGATGAGTGAAAATGGATTTCAATAACGACCTGTTGCTTCCGCCATTATCGTACCAAGGTTCATTATTCACTTCAATACTTCCGTCGAGAACGAGAATTTATAACGTTGCAAGGATTTAAGTACCTACTGTCGATGGGTTTTAGATTCATTTGGACTGGCTTGATGTCGTTTTCGCCTACAAAAGGTACATTGTACTTTAAAATCTGTCTTAAATACCGATAACTCCTTTGTTTTTAACTTTAAAAATTGTAAAATATTAAACTTATTTTGTTCCATGTTCTTTTAGTTTTACCTACAAACAACCTTAAGAATAATTTTTGACTTTCCATCTGCATACGAGTGCACTCAGTTGACTTGTCGTTATATTGTCAGGTCGCAATGAATTTAGATTTTCAGGAGTGTGAGGTCAGTTTTGGGCACGATGTTGTTTTTTCTTTCCGGTTCGATATTATGAATTATTATTGGTTTTCCCAGCCAATTTCGGAAAATGCGTGATTTATTTTGTAAAACAAAATTTCAATTTAGCGTAGATTTGGGAAACGACTTAAAACCTGGTTTCATTTTCGCAGTGACAAGCATTCGACTTCGTTTTGCATCCTTCAAGTAAATGAATGTGCATTACGTTTCATTAAAGAGATTACAAATACGTGATTGGGATTTCGGATTGACGTATCCATTGCCAATTACAACAAATGTGCATTCTTATTTGCTGAAAATCTGTCTTTTACCGTGACCTTTCGGAAGTGAGTATTCATTTTCATTTGCTGTAATCCAAAATCGCAAAATTTACGTTCAATTTAATTAGAATAAACAAGGCTACACAAATCATGACACCACTTTGATAAGAAATGTCATGTTACTCATTTACCGTGTTTTTGTTATCAAACTGTAAAAAAAATTAAGGTTTCTACGATTGAAGCGCAGCACAAGAAGGAAGGTTCCCTCACAACCCCGGTGTTTATACGTTTCCTAAAATAGTCATTAGTTTCCAATGACAACTTGATTGCTTTATTTCAGTCATGAATATTCAAACATTCAACCAATCAACGAAACACTTCTAAGAAAGTAATTTCTGTTGGCAAACAAACGAATTTTTATTCTTGACCAGGCACTGTGACGTTAAATAACACTTCGCCCGAAATCGCCTGCATATTTTGTGAAATAGATTGACTTCAAATTAAAACGAATGCAGGACTGCTGAGGTGCATTCAATTTCGCACAAAAATGAATGTCAGTACACTAAACCGGTGCGATATCAGGAAATTGAACGCTGACTCTGTACGGCCGAATGCATTTGTTAATTAGAATTGGCTGGGAAAACCTATATATCTGCTATTTTCTCATGTATTCTTTGCAAACTAATGAGGCCTCAGATGTGTAACTTGCAGGAGGCATTGAAATAGAATCAAATGGCTTGTACATAGGCAGTGTGCTGTTCAAAATTCTAATCGAGGTGGGACACAGGGACATGGGACTTTCCCTATGAATCTCCCTTACACCGTAGCTATGCCACCGTTAGGGTTACGTACAACGGTAGACCCAAGGTATCAAAAAAATAGCCCTTGGTCTCTGTAGACTAATAATTGACTCCTTGATTCTATTAAACAGACGAGTCAGCTGGTATGGTCAGCCATTGTGGCCATCTGACACGTGTTAGCCAAATCAAAAGCTTTTGGCACATTAAATTTTCTGCCCCAGGCGCTGGCCCAGTTTAAGTCAATTACGATTGGCTAAGGCATGGGGGTCCTATAGGCCTATATAATTTGCAGGCCCGCAGAGTGCTTACGTACAATGTACTTTCAGAAATTGTTAATAGAAGTCGGGGCGGGCTGTTGTGTTTCTTCAAAGAACAACATGTTGTGAAAAAATAATCGAGTAAAAACTGTTTGTGTAAATACTATTGTCAGTGGAAAATTACCACAATGATTAAACCGTGAAGCCGTAGTATTTCATGTCAACGTGTTAATAGAGTTGCTTGTTTATAGTCCGCTTTGGCGTAAGGTTTTTGTGGGTTCAGTTTGCTTCTCTTCGCAGTAATCAGTATTTTACTAACTCTGGCTGTGTACGGTATAGGCAGAATGTAGGTTCTTCGGTGGCTGCCTACAGCGCCATGAAATGCCTTCACAGTTTAAATTAGTGTCCTTGATGTACAACAAATTTGAACATATCAATTTGTGCTTAATAACTTACTAAGTCTATGTACTTTGTCTAAACTGCACAGTTCCGATTATTGGTCGAAATAATTGTTATAATATCGCCATATTGAAATGTACTTGTAAAATTTTGGTAAATTAAAACAGCTCAAAGGGCCAATGCAATGCATTTATTAAATAGGGATTTTTAAAACACTCTTTTGTGTCCTATTTACCCAATTTTAACTTTTTGTCCAGCCATATTCATTTTCTTGCCTTTTGATTTTCAGACTAATGTCAATTTGCATATTTATAAGCAAAAGTGTGATGTCATCTAAGGCAGAAACAGCAGTGTTATAGCCGTTTCAAGGAATGCAAATTTGTGCGAATTGTGGATATTTTGTTGACGCAAATCTTATGTACATTAGCGATTTGGTGTTTTTTCCTTAGTCCGTTATAATTGAGCCCGCAAGCGGAGTTTTCTCATAAACTATAGGGTTCCCGTACAATTTTGCAAAATGCGAGATCTAATTTGTAAAACAAAAATCAGTTTGGCGTTTCTTCTTTAGTCCATTATAATTGGACCAGCAAGCGGAGTTTTCTTATAAACTATAGGGTTTCCCGTCCAATTTTGCAAAATGCGAGATCTAATTTGCAAAACAAAAATTCAATTTGGCGTTTTTTCCTTAGTCCATTATAATTGGGCCAGCAAGCAGAGTTTTCTCATAAACGATAGGGTTTCCCATCCAATTTCGGAAAATGAGTGATCTAATTTGTAAAATAAAATTCAATTTGGAGTAGATTTTGAAAACTATTTAAAACCTGGTTGCATGTTTGCAATAACAAACATTCGACTTCGTTTTGCATCCTTCAAGTAAATGAATGTGCATTACGTTGCATTAAAGAGATTACAAATACGTGATTGGGATTTCGGATTGACGTTTTCGTTGCCAATTACAACAAATGTGCATTCTTACTCGCTGAAAATCTTTCTTTTACGGTAACCCTTCGGTAGTGAGTATTCATTTTCATTTGCTGTCATTCAAAATCGAAAAATATAGGTTCAATTTGATTAGAATATACAAGGTTACACAAATCATGACACCTTTTTGATAATAAATGTTAGGTTACTTGTGGGGGGTCATGTACAAAAAGTAAGGTTTTTATGATTGAAACGAAGCAGAAGAAGGAAGGAAGGTTCCCTCAGCGCCGGTGTTCATACGTCTCCTACAATAGTCGGTAGTTTCCAATGAAAATGGAAACCAATCAGCTAATGCAAACAAATTCTAATTCTTGACTAACACTTCGCGCGAAATCGCCCGTTCAAAATAAGACGAAAACAGGATTGCTGAGGTGCATTCAATTTCGCGCAAAAATGAATGTCAACATACTAAACCAGCGCTATATCGGGAAAGTGAACGCTGATTGCATACGACTGAATGCACCCTCATTGAAATAGAATTTTTATTTGTTAAACAGAAACGGGTATTTGAATGTTCGTTCTGTTTCGCTCGAAAACGAATGCTGCAATTACTAATTCATTTATACATTTTCCGACATTGGCCGGGAAAACCTATATTTCAACTGAAAAAAAATTGAGTACACAGTGTGGAGAAAAATTAAAAAAAAAACATTGTCTGCCTGTAGTGACAACAGAGTAATGTCAGGAAAACATGGGAAGCCTTAAATGCTTAAAAACTGCACTATTTAATGAGAGTGACCAAAAACAGAGCTGCCAGATAATTGCCTTTAATACTTAGGAAGTTGCACAAAACATGTTTTATAATAAAATTCACACCATTCACATTGCCTGGTGCAGACTTGTGATGGACCTGAAATAACTTCCTCGAAACGTTTGGTTTCACTTCTTATTTCAATCCCGGATAAAAAAATTTGTAACAGACCGCATTCAAAGTTTTAATCTTGTTCCCAAATCAATCAGATTCAATGTAATTAGTTAAATAGAGTGGTGCCAGACCATTAGGGGTTCCTAACTTTCATTTTCGTTTAAGTGTTTAAAATATTTAGATGTAATTCATCATAAATTTTACATTATTCACAATTGTAAATGATATTAATTTGCAAGGAACGTTTATTTCACTGCGTTCATTTTGATTATAGGGTTCAAAAATGAAAGTCAATCTCACTTTCAATTCAATATGGCCGAATTGTGAATACTGTAAATTTCTCATAATACAGTGGCATCCCTTATCTCGCCTAATTATGATGTTAATACATAAGACAGTTGCAGCTTCATTAAAACGACATTTATGATTGGATGCTTACACACTGATTCACATATCACTTGTACGTACCAACATGCACTGTCAATACACAATAAACAAGTTATGTAACAAACATCACTGTCTACTGTTGATCATGATGTTTTTTGTGTGCCAAATTTATGTTGTCAAAGGGTCGAGCTTTTCCCCCATTGGCCCGCGTAGCCCTTGTCCAACGTCATACTTATTTTTTTCGATTGTCTCGACTAATTAACTTTAAAAATCCATTGAAATAGATCTATTGACCAGTGGCTCAACCATGCCCCAAGTCCCCCCCCCTTCCATTTTTACTGTTTTTACTTTCTGAAAACTAAGATACAATACATGTACACCTATCTCAAACTACTAGCTCCGATAAGGCCATACATCCCAGTTTATGTGGCGCAACCGGGCTGAGGGGCTCACATCACGAGCTATTGCTTTTTAGAAGGGGTAAATTTCAGGTCTGATTGGCAACTAGCATATCCTGGGTGCACCACTGCAACTGACCTATCAGATCCAAAAATCTAACAGATCAATTAGAGTTTAAACACAGGGAGATCACCATTCAGAGAGCAAAAGTGATCATTCAATTTCATTCTAAGAGCATGCGATGGCACAATCTTGTTATTTAAAAAGAAAAGGGTCAGCATTTAATTTGGAAAAACACTCAAAAAGCATTTAAATTCTCGTGGACACTGGACACTCCCCCGGTTTGTGTTTTGGCGTTTAATTTTGTGAATCGACAAGCATTCGTGAGATTCGTGCAATGTTATTTGTTGAACGTGAAATCTTCTAATTCTTTTTTTTTTTGACCAGTTTATGCAAAATATTTCCTGAAACGAAACGTTTGGTTCACGAGTAGAGATCTCTATAAAAATTATGATTGGTCAATGTTTAATTGCTAATTCGTATTTTGTTTCTGTTTGAATTGTTATGAAAAGAATTTAATATAAAATTAAAAATAATGCGAAATAAAAATTATTTAGATCACACAAATGGTCAAAAAGATGAGGAAAATATAATAAAACATGAAAGCAAAAATAATGCTTTAAAATGTGACACAAAAAAATAAGCCATTGTTTAAGAGAATAAAAAAATCCTAGTATACATGCAAATTTACGGACTCGAGAGAGAGCGTTTCTCGTGTAAAAAATAAAGAAATTACCAACCAGTGAACCGCATCTAAAGGATTATTTCAGCATCCGTGATAAAGGTCCAGGGAGAGTTTCATTTCTACATTTTGATTAAACAGGCAATCAGTATTGGAGCAAATGTACTGTATTCTGTTAAGGAGAAATCTCCACTAATTCCTGTGCAAAGATGAAAAATACGGCATGGAAAATCTATAGGTAATTATGCGCTGTTCATCACTACTTTTTTATCAAAAAAGCTTTACGTGCGGCGTCTTTCTCAGCTGTTCACGATCGAATCGGAATTTGTCTTTTCTTTTTCTCGAATTATTTGAGCCAGAAGCCCCAGTACACATGTATATCGATATGTCTTTAATACAGAGTTACAGGAATCTGAACTGTTGCAAAATGTATCCGTTGTCTGTTATCTGTTGGAATAACAACAAATAAGGTTTTCTCAGTAGCATACCCGGGTGACGCTCGTGTCCTCGCCTATTCAAATCAAATAATCTCCACTTTTTCGCCGTTTCTCCTATTGAGTACATGTACATGTATTAGCGTCCAGCATCTGCTCATCGGTTTTTGTCACTTTATGTGCTTATTCTCAGCAGGTTTCTTTCAAACAATATTGTTTGCAGAACCAAATTCAATGGATTTTCCTCGGATTTCTTTATATTTTATAATTCTTTAAAACAGGGATTTTCTTTCACAAGAACTGAACCACGAGGAGGATATGCTGCTTTGTGATGCGGCAGTGAGCAGTATACCCAGCAAGAAATGAGACCGAGGGGTACCCCCCCAACATGTCCAATCCCTATACACATTCCAGACTATTGTTACTTAACACATCCCCCCCCCCAAGATGTCTGAAAGGAATTCCCCAGATTCCTGCGAGACAATGACCAACACAAAGCAGGGGGGGGGTTCTCTCCGTCTCATACCTCGCTGCATATGGTGTGCAGAACATTTGGCAAGACTAACTCCGATCCTCAGGCATGTCAGGAAAGGAAATTCTTTTTACATTTCACCGGTACAGTTTTGACGATTACCTTTCATATATACAAAAACTGGTTTTAGATATGCCTGGCCATTAAAAAAAATCAAGTTGACAGAGCAAAATGCGCATTAACTTTAAAATGGAGAATATTCCTTTTTATTTTGCCACAATAATTAAGACATGGGGCATGCAAGAAACAGACATTTCCCAGTGTCACGGTGGGCCAGCATCTGTCACAAAGAAGTGAAATAAAATCAAGTAAGCAGTACATAAATAATTAACACTAAGCCAGCAAAAAAGGGGTGTTTTTTCATTAAATTTTTGTTACAAGGTTTAGGGTCAGTATTGGGATAGAAACCTCTCTTCGATACAATGCTATCAGGTCTGGTCGAGCTAATCGCCAGTGAGTCTCGTACGTGAAAATAACCTCTATTCAGTTCGACAGAGAACTGCGAAACATTTTTGGCCATAATTCACGTTTTCCTCGCGTGATTACATGGGACAAGGACATCATCTGCAAGAGTTATTCCTACTAAACCTTACCCATAACCCCTGGGCAGTAATTGGATGCGGTGTACTGATATTATTGAATATTTTTTACAAACATATCAGAAATCGTGAAAGTCTTCCATAGGTTAGCGTTGATTAGTTCAGAAACTTTCGGCACGATAAAATGGTCGGCACTTACTTCCGGTGGGTTAAACGACGTCCGTATCACGAATGCTGCATTGCCGGTCCAAAGTTAATTGTATGCGTCCGTGGTAGAAACATCCAGTGCAGTCGCACCGCACGTCGTATACCAATTTTATGTTTGCTGTCATCTACAGGGTAAAGTGTGTCGGGGTATGTATTCAGCTGGACCTATACATCGCTGTAACCCTCAAACAACTGGTAAGCTGCCATTTTGCGAAATAAAACTACATGTATATCTAAACTATACAGTCACCACACACAGAATAATTCACTGCTTTGTTGCTGCATGCATCTGGCTAAAGGTTACCAGCGATTCAGTTGGCGATTCAGCCGCACGTCAATATCCAGAATCCATGCCGCACATAAGTCATCCATTCCTCGATTTATTTACGAATTTTGAATAAGTTTGAATAAAAAACTTCTTTTTTGATAAAATAAACTGAACACTATTTCATTCAAGTCACATAAACGTATTACTTTATTTGGAAAGTCAAAGCTCAGTTTTATATTGCTTCTGGGAAAACCTGCTTTTTAAGCGTCCATATTTCTGGTTTTATATACGTAAGTACGAAATTCCATTTTGGAAGATGTACTACACAGCTCTGCGATCTATTTATATGTACTTCACTACCGCTATAAAACATGAATACAAAGTGGTTAAGTTTAAATTGGAATCGAACGTATCGAAGACACAGGCAACAATTAAACCCTCAATTAAAACTTATTATTTCTACATTAACGCGGAACAGGCTCAAAACTCAAAAGATTACCCTTTTTATTTTAACCTCCCCTGTTGAAAACCTACTCTAATCACCATCGTCTTCGTGGGCAACGTCTGATGTCACATGTCACGTGGTTTTCATTGTTCTGGGCAACAGATCTGCATAACAAAGCTGACCAGAGAGTTCTGTGGGAATTAGGAAAAAATCAGGAATTGGGTAGGTCTGTACACGGCAACAACTGGGCGTTAACTTTGCGGCTTCGCCGGTACCTGGTCTGTCTTAACCATTGATGCATTCAGGGCGCGTTTCGGGTCACCTTCCCGCAGTCCTTCATTTGCCTGCTTGGCCCCGTCAGGCCTTTGACGATCTCCAGGTTTAATGTTCACTTCGGGTTTCTTGTCACGTTTATTTGTGTTGACATCCGAGGCAAGTTTGGTCTTCACGTGGCCGTTGGCCAGGGCTCTTTTGGCGGCAGCAGCGCGCTTTTCATTCTGTGATGCGATGACCGCTTTGGAGTGCCTGTCGTTCTTGGTGCTCTGACTTCTTGGCGACTGATGAGGCACAACAGGGAGTTTCTGAATGTCCACTGAGATATTCGTGTAAAGGGCGTGGAATTCAAAGCGAGGCTTCCTGTAGCGGAGGTTGTTCAGCCCATCGAGTCTGAAGCGAGGCTTGAAGTTTCTCAGTAGTTGCATTCTGTGCAGGGAGGGAAGTAGACCAATCGAGTGCAAATATCAAAAGTACCACCGTTTCTTTTTAGGACCCCACATACTAAAAAAAGAGATATATCCATGATGCTACCGCAAACCTATCTAGTTTAAATATCAAATCAGATGGGTCTAAACGCTTCGAAGATGGCACCGACACTGTAGAAAACCTACAGCGCCCTCACGTGAAAAGAGAGCGCCCATTAGAGGGCGCTCTGTAGTGTCAGGACTCGACTCGTTCCCGTGCAATCCACTATCTCTAAACCCCTTTGTTATTATTATCATCGGTAGGTTCTGTTCGATGGGTTTTTTAATAATTTTTTTAATTGGTTCATTATCATTGAGTTTGCAAGGAATCGCGATTTATGGGGTGTTTCTCATCCGACAGCACAGTGGAATACGTTTATCATGGGAATAAATAGCCTCAGTCTTCGTTACGTCGTCAAAAGCTGTGGAGATGAGTTTTATGGACTTCATGCAATTTTAGTGAGGTTGATCAGGGTAAATAATCGTTATATTTGTGGTTTCAGTGTTTTCTTAATTTCATTGGCAAAAACGGGGGTGAAATTCCTGAGGGTGTATACATTGTACATTTTCAACGGCCACCGAAAGCAACTTAACTGTTGCTTGTAGGAATGTGCTCATTTGAAAGTGTCAATTCAACTCCAATTTTTTATTTTCAAAATAAAATTGCGTTAATGTTTAGGTGTTTTTATTCTTGATGGGATTAATGTTTGTACCTTTTTGTATAATTTCTTCTGTATAATAAAGTATTGCAGTTGTACCTGTTTTCAACGAGCTCCCTCAGCCGAGTAATAGAAATTTAATGAAGGGGAGAGTATCCTTGTTATTTTTTGGTGTCGCGCGCGCACACATGCTGATACCAGCTGGTTTAAACAAGCAGGTGCTATGGGGACGAAAAGCATTCATACCAAAATGTTGCTTTGTCGGGGCATCGTTTGGAACGTAGGCACAAAGGTTACAACTAGAACACTTTTCGACTTGGAAATAAAAACGGTAACGTCCTCTTTCACAAATCAACAAAGAGGGCTTATTCTATTTGTCAAAGAGATCAACAGATCTTAACCCACCTGTCTTTCAGCGCTGGCGCGCTGGAGTGATGATGTTTGATGACATCATAGTAGCCATGCGGTCCTTTGGGGCGAGACACGGGCAGGCCAACTTCCTTCACTCGTTCCCAGATCTCGTCGTCCTCCCCTCCCCAGCCCCAGTACACGTTGGGAAAGCCATTGATCTTGAGAATATTGCTGGTCGTGAAGCCGGTGACAGCGCCAAAGAAGTTGGCATACGGCAACCTCAGAAAAAAACAGTTGAATAGAAGTAAAGTCTCGGGGTGGAATGCAATTATTTTGTCTCCGTTCAGCATAGTCAAGGTAGATAACTACAACTTTGGACTTATACTCAATACCGACTTTGGCCCACTGCAAGAAGTTTGACTATTTATAGCCACATCTGGACATGACTTCGCAAACTCTGCAAGAATGATTTGGCAAGCTTTGACACGACCTGGCATGGAGAACGGTTCAAAAGTTGTATGAGGGCTTAAGGTAACATCTATGCGCATGCGTACGTAAAACGACATTTTGCTCGTGCATGATTTTGGGTTTTACCTTTCGTAGTTTGTCTATTTGAGTATCCGCTCCAAGCGGAACAAAAGAGGGCGTGGTTTTTTGGTACCGCATGGGAGCGCCATGAAACGCGCAAGTACATGCTCGTTTGAGGCGAAGCACGCTGAGTACGCATAACTAATTTATTCCAGTTTGTATGTTCTTTGCCAACCTCGTTCCCATGGGTACGGTCTTGCCACAGCATGTTGGTTCCCACCAAAGATTGTATAGCGCCGCGCAGCGTTATACAATCTTTGGTTCCCACTATGCCCTGCACGAGCTAGTGAAGGAACGCGCACGCAGTCCATGGAGTCGAGGATGGGTCTTTGCGTACACACTAGAACGCGTGCAAGAACCCCCTTGTAACCACTTGTCTTACTTTCTCCGAGTGGTTGTGCACTTCAGCTCGGGGAGGATAGGGCTGTTTTCTATTTCTTTGCTGGTCACTACATTCTCCGATTAACCATTTCACTCACTTGTATTTCCACCGGTCCGCACCGCTTAGGAAGTGCCTGGGCATGCCGCTACACCCGTAGTAATTGAAGTCACTCAGCGGCAAGTGGTCCACGTCGTGAAAGATGAAGCAGTCCCAGCGAGAGAAATTTAACGCCTCCACGAAGCCCACGTTCATGAGCATGGCCCGGTTGAAGGCAAGGTTATTTTCCTGTCAAAGGAAATGGGTATTTGGTTGAGCAGGGAATCTTGTCTGACGTTCGCGATTATTGTCTTTCAGTCGGTAAACAGTGTAATTTTTAGGTAACACATGTAGCAGTGGCTACCAATGAAGATGAGGAAATGGTAGCCCGTGTCCGAAAAGGGTTTCTAGGGCCACAGTTACGCCTTTTGTCAGCGTTTATACCGGGATTTGCAAGATCTAGACACAAGGGCAGAGTTTGGGCGGCTTGTTTTCGTAACTATGTTCACGAACAACTCGATTTGTTGTTTGTGGGTCGTCCGCTCGAAGATTGGGAATACAACCGGTTATCGCTGGTAGTTAGTGGCAAGCAACATGCAACATGGCGGCATGTACGTTCTTTGAAGGTTATTGTTTGGATAACTGGGCTGAATTCTTTTCTACTTGTATTTAAAAAGGAACATTCCTTTCTGTGTTGTGGAAAATAACTCGTGTTAATTTTGCAAAATTTCCCACTGTCTCCAGCTTAGTCCGGCTTTGTTTTACGGCTGTTCAAAAATCGAAATCTCACGAGTTTCTTTGTGTGTTTGTGTAAATCCTGACGAGGAGGTGGTGTGTGATCCTTAAAGTTAAAAAAAGTGAAGTTAAAACTAATGAGATGTCCGCACGGCATGGTAGTTGGCCGTCTTTGTCAGATAGACGTAATAGCTGAATAAAATGAATCTGTAGACTATCATGATAGTTTTAGTCATGTCTGTACTCCTGGGCACAACGTTGATACACTACTGTGTGTTGCGCTTAAATGTGAACTGCCGTTTAAAACCCTCACTATAACTGATGCGTTATATCACATCAGGATAAAGCCTGTACTTGTTTCTTTCTTTGCACTTGCATGCCCTAAGTTAGGTGATATTGAGAATGGCAAAGCAATAATCTGATTTTGATCGAGGAGTAATATATTGTCAAGAAATACGTCGATTAGTCTATGAATGTACCTGGTTGATAGAGTAAAAGGCGAATTCCAAGAGCTGTCTCTGCAACATGGGTGTCAGATACCGGAGCACTATGGGCAGATGGTAAGAGCGGTTCCGGTATGGAAAGATGATGGCAACCTATCAAAAGGTAGTATTGGAACAAACCAGTCAGGGAATACGGCCGTTTCACAATAGTGCTCCACCAAAAGTTTGCAACGCGTAGGCCAATCACAATGCGCAAAATTTGTCGACCCCATGCGCGTTTGGAAAGGGTCGACAAATTTCGCGCGTTATGATTGGCCAACACGTTGCAAAGTCTTGGTGGCGCACTATTGTGATTCACCCGTATTGGTACAGATTATATCGCATGCCTTACCCACAGTCGTATTTAAGGGTGCAATGAGTGAAGTACAATGTGTCAGTTGGTATCCAAGCAGCGACTGCGCAACATGAAGCAAGACTAAGGTCTTTGGGACGCGCGTTTGAAGTCTGCCCTATCAGGACGGGCCTTAACGGACTCGCGCGCGTGCCTTGTTCCCCAATGGCCTTAATATTATGAAATACCAAATTGGTCCATTTCCTTGTGTTTTCAAACAAGGGGTGGAGTTTATTTTCCGAGCTGGAGATGGTCGAACATGACAGCTTCATCGATTTATCGTGGTATAATATAGTAATAATCAGCGTAGAATACTTAACACTTGAAGGAGCCTGTGTTTTGCTACTGTCATTACCCTCCGAAAAAAACACCTGTCTTCAACCTCCTCAGGGTATCATTGGCACCGGGGTTTCAACCAGCTACCTTTGGTTTACGTACCTTCCATCTCGGTAAGCAGTTGGTGGGTGTCCAATGCCCCCCAGGCAGGTAGGTGTAGTTGCCTAGCCTAATGCCCAACCAGGAGAGACTCTCTGTGATGGGCGTGCGTACTGAGGTGTTGTACCGGGCGGTCTGACCCAGCAGTTTCTGCATCTCTTGGTTGCCGGTCTCCACGGCGCTCTCCACCCGCTGCCAGTCCTTCCCCATGACCTTGATCACCGACACGTTCATCGGTGTGTCTTGCATATTCAGGGACCGTTTCTCGACTTTTCAAGAAAAGATGTGATGTAAGGAAACCAAACTGAGCATTTTGACCGTCCTTTATGGCAGTTACACTGCCCTTTGAAGAATCCTTAATATATGGAAGTATCTGCCACCCGCCCCACTGCCAGGTAAAAAATCTGCAACGGCAATAAACTAACAAAGCGCTCAAGAAGGGATTTTGACTGGTACGCAGCGCTTGGCGCAAGTGTTGACGCGCATGTGGAAAGGCGCCTTAACTCAGCATCAGGCACGTAAATAAAATCTACAGTCGCTGCAGTGCAGTTACTTTGCACCAAAGGAGTAAAACGCCCCAAAGTGAATTTTACAGCGATGTAATAATAATAACTCTTTCCAATAATAACTAAAGAAGCATGTTTTGAGATTGGGGGCAAACAAATTCAGTAATTAACTTTTGAGACACACTCACCTAAGCCAGGAATGTCCAACTCTGGGCAGACGGCTTTCTTGGGGCACTCGTAAGATTTTTCCTTGGCTCCTTAATAAATTAAAAGAATGCCAGCAAAGTGAAAATGAGTCGCAAAAACAAACAAAAATGTATTCTGGAGTGTCTGTACCATATTGTTAGCAAGAGTCTAAAATTCTAGCTCTTTAAATTCTCCAATATGTACCACCAAACAGATTCCGGATCTCTTAAAAACGAAAAATCCGTCAAAGGTGCCATTAAAATTTTGTACAGCATACCGTGACACGTGGAAAATCATTGCCTTGGCCGCGTGATTCCCAAATCCAACAAAATGCTAAAACTTCGGTATTTCATAGGTATTGTGCGTTTTAATCTTTAATTATCCCTTGTTCCTACTCACCGGCTTTCTTCGGGGCCTCCTTCCCTTCCTTTTTTGTCTCGCACTTCCCATTGCATGGTTGTATGGCGAAGAGGTCTGCTAAACCTCCCAGGCTCTTTGCCATGTCTTTTAAACCCAGGGGGCGCTGTTTACTACATGTGCCATTAGTGGTAGCGTTTGTAGTACCACAGGTATTCCTTATTTGTTCCTCCGTGGTCCGCCTGCCAACAACTTGGGGGAAAAAGAGAAGACTATAACTTTTGCATTACAGTTCAGAGCGAATCCATCTGTCAGTGATGCAAATTTTAAAGTCGCTCAAAAATTGGCTACCTAAACTGTTCTTTCAATAATTTTCGAATCCAAATGGAAATTGAAATACCAGAGTTTCGGAGGGACGTTGGATATTGTTCCTCTTAATCAACCCAAACTTTGATGAGGGTCTGAATGGTCATTTCAACATACTCATGGATTCATTTCTTCCGCCACGGGTGACAGCAGACCAGATTGAAAACGTGGAAATCAACGAAATTCCCACCATAGTGTAGAGCACGCCAAGTATCACATGCCGTCGGTTCAGTCTACCAGGCGATGTGGTCAAGGCGACCAGGAGCCGGCTACAAGCACCGCTGACACTCCACGAAGAGGCTCGTAGACGGACGGTAGAAAGTTGCCTCCTACCTTGGGCATTGTGGCCAAATACATATGATGGTGATCTACATTGAAAAGAAGTTTTTTTAAAAAAGTTAGCTACACGGCGAAACTACCCGCATTATACTACGACAAAAAGTCGAAGTTTTAATTGCGCTGAACAATGTAGAGTCCGTTATAAGACAGGCTCACCGTAAGACAGGCTTACTTCATTTATCAACTACATTACCACTGTTTGGCACATAGACTTTACAAATATATGTCCGAATAAAAATCATGTTGAAAAAAATCTCAAACAACTGGCATGATTTGTATTTTGGGCCGGTAACATTGAACATACTGAGCAAAACTCAAGTCATTTTTCAAAGAGTTTGCCAAGAGCAAGTAGGTATATTGTTGGTGTCTGTCTTTCACTCAGCAATATAGCAACAGAGAAAGGGGACTTTTGTGCTGTGGAATTAGGCCAAGGCATATGCGTTGCTCATATTGAATAGAAATACACCGTGCTTCAATGTCAGTCTCTATTTGCATGTACATGTAGTTTCAAGTCAGGGACTACCTGACAAGTTATCGAGGCAACAGCTTCAAAGTCGGCGGGGGAGGGACGCCTTGGGCGAAGATTGGGATGAAAAAAGCCGAATAATGACACCCCCTTCCCCTTCGAAATTCTCACTGTATCATGATATTTGGACGGAAAATAAGCTATGCATTTTTACATGACTCTATGGGGGAAGAGAACCAGTCAAGCATTAAGCAACATTAATTTTTCTTCATAGTGTTTCTTAAGTACCTGCTCATCAAGTCACTGATGCATGCATAATACGAAGAATATATTTAAATTAAAATATAACTTTTAGATGCTTATACAAAGAACAATTCACCCTTTGATGTCTTGTTAACAGGTACCAGGCTCAAAAAAGGATTGTCATTGGCCAGTGCAGGATAAATGAGCTTCGAATTCTGACTGGCCCACAATCATCGACTTTCACAATCAGGACTCGGAGAGAGGTTTGGTATCTGGAAATTTAGGCACCCTAGGTGCGGATCTTGGGACTCCCCTCCCTTGCTCTGACATCCAAACAACAAAAACCAACAAATAATCACAAATAAGAAAAACGACATCCTACTATGTGTATAAATGTAGGTGCATCAGTGAAAATGCAATGCATTACCTGTGTACCGACTTGTCCGCAACAATTAGACATTAACAAAACATTATGACGAGCCTGAACCCCCCCCCATAAAAATTCCTGGATCAGCCCCTGATGAACCTATAAGCCCCATGAGACTGGACTTCATAGAAAAAAATTTGTTTTCTGAGTAAAGACCTCATTATTTCCTTCCTACATTGCCTTTTTTGGACATGTTATCGTTTTCTGAAAAGTGGTGTGCCAGTGCCGGGAAAATTTAGTGGAATCGGAAAAGTTTGGAATTCTTCCCAAATTATGGGGTACAAAATCCTTTGGCACACTTGAAATGACCAGTTCAACATTATACAGTACTTTACTGTGCAGCAATATCATTTTGTAATCACTGGAGTAAGAGTTCAATTATTACTATTATTATTTTTACTACATCATGCATATAGACTTATTTTCCCTTAAATGTTACAACAGTCATTAGAAAGTGATATCATATCCTAAAAAATAAAATTCAGCTAAGAAAATGCCAAAGCATTTACTTAGAAAAAAGTTTTTTCAGACAAGTCTCTTAGGTTTGTGCACAGGGACATCAAGTGTTGTCCGTATTTGGAACTCTTTTCATAACTGATACTACTTTCTCATTTCTTTGTATCTTGCCTTGTGTCAAGCCAGATTAGGTATCAATATTCATTTGGAGCCAACTCACTTATAGTTATACTAAAGTAAATTTTCATCAGGAATATTCTGTCGACAACTTCTACTTCTCTTCGGTGTAAGAAAAATTATCCTTTTGAGGAATTGTTCCACAGTCATTCGTATCCAAATATTCACATGACAATTAAAGAGGCACCAAAATGAAGAAGTGACAATCAGGTTATTTGGTTACAGCGAAACCTTTTCTGACAATCAGAAGACTATAGTTTGTAGAGGAATGACAAATACTTCGGCGAGTATCTACCGGATATAATGCGCCAACATGTGGTTTTTCTTCACCATTTTGACTTACCCCGGGTCGAACATTGCTCACCTAGAAGTAGGCCTATCATCATCAGGAAAAGACTGGAAGAACATCGGGGGCGAATCGCGGGCCTAGAGCCGCCAACTTGACGCCCTCTCAACTGAATTCCCTCCTGAAGGCAACGTCTGTATGTTGCTCTCCAACAGGACTGTACAGGCCAGGCGATTTGTTGACGTGTCCTCTGCTAACAAAAGAGCTCAGCATTTTGAATGAACCTCCGCGGATTGATTACGTAACAGAACAAAACCAATCAATAGGGGGGAGTTCAATTGTGATTCAAATTTTCCCTTTTCTCGCGAAGCTATCGCTCCGTACTCCAAGGAACTCGAAGAAAGGATACTCACAGAAGTTTTTAAAAATGCGTAAATGAAGCACTACTCAGGAACAAAAATTTTACGTTCAAGTCACATGTGTGAGAGTAAGAGTTTCTAACAGACCGAACAGAATGAGAGATTAATACTGGTAGATTAAGGAAGGTAAAAGAGGCATTTTAAAGAATTTTTCGAACTCTTTCAATTCACTCCCTCCACGTAGAGTGAAAAAGGGCTTGTAATGTGCCTCAAGTTGAAGTGCACCCTCACTGGCAATAAAAGACACAGGCTGATGGGAAATGAACGGGGCTTGTGCACGGCATTACTATCACGCATTCGACAGAGAAAAGTGGTCCGGTGTAACGATCTCACTCATCTGCATAATCTGCCTTGATCTCCGGAAGACAGCACCGGATAAAATGAGCAAATTCCTCAAACGTGCTATAGTAGGTTATTGCAGCCTCAGTCACACACCCACGCGTACGCTAGGCGTACGCCGCGCGCTGGTTAGCCGCGGTTGACCTTATGTAGCACAATTGGTTTTCCATGCAATCTTAATATAGTCATGCATTTGGAGCGAAGTTTAAGCGTGGGCTAGCTAGGGTCAGGTTGACGATTTTAGAGGAATTTAGGCTAAATTTGACAGATTTTTTTTCGGAAAACCACTTTTGACAGAAAATCTAACAGAATGAGTAATTCAGCAGCAGATTTCTGAAATTTTTCGGATTCTAGCAGAAGAATTTAGCAGATATTGTACATGTAGTATAGTTAGCTAGGTCCGGACGTATTGTACAATTATCAAATTTACGTGTCCTCGAGTTGACAATGGGAACTCGGCACACCCATAAAGTGAACACAAACGTGTCATTCTTGCAAATACACTCGGGTTGTAGTACAGTTGGGGCGGTCGGATATGGTCCAGCGATCCAAGCACGGCGGATAAATGAGGCAAGGGTTTCGGATCCCCATTTATAGGCTTATGTATAACGGGTTTTTCTTTCTTTTCACGCTCTTTAACAAGAGCCACACATCAAGTTATTCATGCCCAATTCGGTCACAGTGTCCTTGCTGGTATAAGAAGTCGCCTGATTGCGGTCATTCTTTGGTTAGTTTCCGCGCAGCTGATTTGGACTTCGTCACTGTTCAAGTTTAAACCAGCACGAGCACAAAAGCCATGCCGTGCAAGTTGACCTCTGAAAGTAACCGCTTCTGGAATCCTTGGGTAGAGAAAATAATGTGCAAAAATTTTATTAAAAATTTTATTTTCATTATACTTTTCGAACTTATAATTATCATTTCTTTTTTTCTTTTTCTTCTTTAAAAATCACCCCAGAAAATGCCTTAATAAAAATATGTTACTAGTATTTAATTTAAAGAAACTGAAAAATTGCCTTACCTGAAAAGAAAAATCCTGTCAGAAATTGACATTTCATTTCTGTAAATCTCATAATTTTGAATTTCCAGTAAAGCAACGAGGCCAGATCTTCCTGGGAGTCACCAGGCAACGCAATTTCTCTTGGATTTTGCGCTGATATCTTTGGGCGCGTATTAATGCAGTGCAAAAGTATTTACTTTTTACTCTTTAATTAAGCTTGTGCTTGACAATAAGCACTTGATTCATTTTGTATGAATAAAAGTGAGTAAGTTCTACAGAACTGGAGTATTTCTTGACATTTTTCAAGACTAGGTCAGGGCAAGCTTGAAAACGAGGCATTTGAAGCAAGATATGAGACGGAGAGACCCCCCCCCGCCTTTGTGTTGGTCATTGTTTGATCGGAATCTCGGGAATTCTTTACAGATTTCTAGGGGGATGATGCCACATGAACTAGACTAGTAACTCTTATGAACAAAAAGTTGATGACTTCTAGGTAGAAAACTTCTAGGTAGAAAACCTTTTTTGGAAATTTGTACCTTTTTACCTTACCTTTTTACCTTTAGTGCCCAATTTTCACACTTTTGTCGAATTCCCTCAGATCATCGGTAATAATATCTGGAAGACTGATGAATCGTATGTATCTATCAGTTCATTTCTTCAAGATCGAGATCCATTTGTCTGAAATGTGGTTCGTTTTTCATGCGGATACAAATTTTCCGCACTGAGTCCGACAGCAGTCAAAAATGAGGTGTTCGGACGATTCACAATAGTGCGCCTCCAAGAATTTGTAACGCGTTGGTTAATCACAACGCGCGAAATTTGTCGACCCTTTCCAAACGCGCATTGGGTCGACAAATCTCGCGCATTGTGATTGGCCAACGTCCTGCAAGTCTTGGAGGCGCACTTTTGTGAAACGCCCGTATTTAAGTATACAAATATGTTACCTTTTGGCCACATAAACAATCATTAATTATTATGCAAAATTAATCAAGCTTTGTTTTGAGGAAAGCAGCAGAAATGCCCTTAGCCTATCATGGTAACAAAATTAAAAGCTGCATGACGTGAAAGTGTACAAATGGTGTTCCCCATGGAAAAGTATGATTGATCAGTCTTTGCACGGAGAGCTTACAGCTCACCCTGAGTGACCTGTTTGTAGGACGGCAAAATTTCAACCAAATTTACCTCCAAGGGGCCTTAAAGATCAAGACTCTAAAACTACTAGGCATGGATCCGTCTAGACCGCAGATTTTGCCCTTAAGGCTAAAGACAAGACCCTAAAATCGACCCTCAAGGCAACTTTAAGGCCAAGGCTCAGTATCAAGCCACTACATCACTGAATCAACAACTATCTGGCATTTCCATTTTTGTGAGTTTACCGATACCTTTCATGCAGGAATATCGTCCATTTTGGTGCTGCGACTCTTCTCTTCACTACATTTTTCAAAACCGTTTACGTGCCTCCTGTATCAACTCTTTACATGAGTAGCGTATATCCATTTGCCCAGGTTGTAGTTGGAGTGTGCGTTTCATCTCTTCCCCATGAGCATTCTTTGACTGCAATTCCACATACTAAAAGGATAGCTTTTTGTGGCGAAGTACACCGCGATCGTTGAATTCTGAAACTCTGTTGTAGTGCAGTATATTTTGGAAAGGGTTGTGTATGCATCAGTTCATCTATTCAATAGGAATCCACACTTGAACTCTGCTGCCTTACTTCAAAGGCAGGATTTGTGACAAAGACTTTTATTCAAAGTAGCCACTGCATGTAAAAACTGGTCAACATTATTGGTAGCCGTCGCACGCAATGCGTTGTGCTATGTTATGCATAACTAACACAACTTCTTCCTATGTTGTGCAGCGCATCCATCCAACTTATTAACTTTGAATGCCCCATTAAAAAAAGTGTAAAATCAACAAAGTTTACAGCCCCAGTGCTGGCAAACAAAGTCCCTCAGGCCTCTCAAACCAAAAACAAAGTGTTGGTTTGGTCCTTCAGATTTCATTTGATTTCCAATTTTTAGTAGGTTAATCAATGAAATTTTCAATTATCCGCCCAAAACAAACCCATCCCCTAAAAAGTGAACGTTCCTAAATCTGTCAGCAACCATTTTCAAGTGACACCCCTCCATTTTCTGGGGCTCTTTGGACAATTTCTCAGTAACGTTTTTCTTTGATTTGCCCTAGGATGGGAGCCCCCACTGTAGGATACTTTTTGAGCGCCTCGGCCTGGCAGAGAATTTACCTTGAATTGGGACAATACACCCATTTGCCACAAGTCGGACTAAGAGAGGGCGCAATTTTCCTAGCAACGGGGCTCCTTTGTGGGAAATGCGGTAGTTCACTGTACTACTGTGAAACGTACGTGTTGCGATCTCATCGCGACTAGGCAGGGCCAGGCGCGCAATTATACATAATTTAGGTTTGTGTTAGGCCTAAGGCACCACTTTTTGCATTAGTAAATTAAATAAAAAGTTTCTTTCTACGACAGATAGAAGGGGGGTCAAGTAAAAAGTTATTAATCTTTATTTAAATATTCTTGCAATGTTATGGAGCACTTAAGTTATTTTAAGCAAGGTCATGCAGAAGGGACGGAGTAAGAGTGCCTCAGTGCTTCGGCTGGGCCTACATTTTGTAAGGATTTTCCTCCACGTTTGGTCACATGTACAGATGTTTCCGTAGAAATAACGGCTGGCCAACTGTATTTTGAACCTTTATGAAGAGGATCAGTTGGTAAGGGTTTATCTTTATCAATAATGGGTTAATTTGGGGGTTAAACTCTGTATAAACTGGACACTATTGTGGACTTAATTTTGTAACAGCAATTATTGTGGCTGCTAAATTATTTCTTCTGCCATGCCATAGGTTTTTTTTACATGTAGGCCTAAGCCACCGCAACCACATGATTGAGTGAATTATAGAACAAGGAACAAACATCGGTGACTCTGTAGGGGAACCAAAACGTGGTGTCATGCCTCCAGTCCGTCCCTGGACTCAACAAAAAACACTACACTCGAATTAAGTTTTCTCTCACAGGATTATGTACATTTTGAAGAGGACTGAAGAAATATGCCCCTAGTAAACGCAATCTGTCTTAAGGTGTAAATGTAATGTTAGAAATCTGGAAATACTTTAATATGCACAAGTTTGTCAGAACGGCAAGATGGGATTTTGCCTTCTTGTTTATGGTAAGTATATATGCATCCAAGTAGCTGGCCTTCCCGGATTACAAGGCCAGGCATCTCATGCACATGTCAACATAATGTACACGTATGTACGTGCAATGTTAGAATTCTTGAAATACATGTACTTTAATACAGGTATGCTGAAGCGTGTCAAAACTGGATGGGAAGATTGTTAATTCATGCTCCAGCCAAGTGCCCACCTCTAGAGTTGACAAGACCAAGTTGACTTGGGACCGAGTTGACCTGAGATGGAGTTGACTCCGAGCGAGTTGGTTCCGGACCAAGTTAGCGACTTCACACTGATTAAGTGTACATGTATGTACATTGCCATGTATCGCCGGACTATGTCCAATCTTTAAAAAAGGCAATGGGTAGAGTCCAAGTTGCTCAGACTACTATTAACTGATCTACATCATCCTGATGCAGTTGCATCAGATATCATTTAAACAATTCCAATATGCACAGCATGCCAAAGTGAGGCGGACTAGCACTACAAAAAATTATAATTGACCTTGTTGGGCTTGGGCCTATTTCAAACGGGATGGCCTTGTATTACAGCTGCACGTGAGCACATCATCACACCCAACGACTTGCTTTGGAGGGATAAACAATTTGCAAGATGTATGCAAAATCAAAGTGGGCATATAGGCCTACTAAAGTTACTCATGTCATTTTCACAGAAATGGGCCATGCACGTGTACTGTACGCATGCTTAGTGTTAATCCTACTCCTAGCATTAGTCTCAACATGATCCTTTCCTTCCTGAATGGTCTCAAGAACTAGGCCTATGAATTTGGCGGTGTGAAGTTTTGTCCCGTTTGCACTCCATCGCTTTTAGGCGCATGCATCGTGAATGCCAAACGGTTACTTATTCACATCTGTATCTGCATCATTCAGTCAGCAACATTTGTCATCTGACACATCCCGCAACTTCTTCAACACTGAGTGTCGAACGAGAAACTACCTTGACATCGGTCAATTCCACGCCCGGATCTAAACTTCTATTTGTCAAAGTGCTTCTGTACACTTTAGGAACCCTGTTGCCTCACTTTCAGTTTTCCACGGTCAAAACGGCTTTGACGAAAGTCTTGTATCGTGGGTTGAGTCTAGTTCTTCGCCTGCAAACCACAGTGGGAATTTTGAAGTGAATGCATCACATTGCATGTCTCAAGTCGAAATAAAATAACCAAACTCCATAGACCGACTGGAGATTATATTGAATCTGATGTCATTTTTCTCCTCGATCGAAGACAACTCCTTGTTACCAGGGACATGGGGTTTTTCGAGAAAAAAGCCCAGCAATGTAGGCGATGTGTTTGACGGCTGTATGATTATAAAAGAAAAAAGTTTTTTTGCCGTTTCCTCGAAACCATGTCACTCAGTCGAATTACTGAACATCATTCCAAACCAGGCTCTAACTTCTTTTTTTTTTCAAATAAAAATGTTTTTTTCCTCTTATAATTACACGGCCGTCAAAAGCCGTCGCCTACATTTCAGGGCTTGTTTTACCCCGAATAACCCCATGCCCCGAGTTGCCAGGAGTCGTCTCCGATTGAGGAGAACAGTGACATCAGATTCAATGTAATTTCCAGGCGGGGCATGGGGTTTGGGTATTTTATTTCGATTTGAGAGATTCAGTGTAGAGTTAGGCATTCACTTGCCCACTCTGGTTTGCAAGCCAAGAACTCCAGCGAAGAGACACGGCTTTCATCAAAGCCCTTTTAACCGTAGAAAAACTACCTTTGCCCGGTTGAAATGGAGGCAATGGGGTCGGTAAAGTGTACACAAATACACAAAAAGACGTTGATGGCTGGGGCGTCTGATTGATGTATATTATTTCGATTGAGTAAAATAGTTCGATGAAAACAGAAAGAATATAATTAACCTTTATTTTTCTTCTAATAATTACAACGCCCTAAGAAAACACCATCGCCTACCCCTTCAGGGCTTGTTTGATCCCCTACGAACCCCATGCCCTAGGCTCCCCCTATGGGAGAGAGTTGTTTGTTTATACATGTACTTTATTGTGAAATGGCACTTGCAATGTAAATTAGGTACATGTGAACAGATGTGCATGTTGGCGGAGTGCTTTGTTTTTTGTCTCTTTTGCACTCCATCACTTTTAGGATGTGTCAACGATTACTTATTTAACGTTCGAATATCAAACGGTTACTTTTTCAACATTGAACGTCGAACGTCGAACGAAGAACTAACTTCACATCAGTTGCCTGGATACACGAAGTCGCGAAAATAAATGGATTAAAGCGACAACCGTCGCTTAACATACACACGTGTACATTTGTACGTGTGCCGCCACACCGCACCCACGTGTTGTTTGCAGTGTGCCTGTCCGTAGTCGGTCCGTGTTCTGTAAATGGGTTTTCAATGCAGCGTGAGTTTTGCGTAGTGACGTCATACAGCCTGGCTTATCAACCATGAACTTGAACTTATTGTGCTGAATAAAGATGCAAAATCTACAAAGGCAGTTATTGACAAGGCAGTGAAACTCCTGGGAAAATAATGTATAGACAAAAAGGTGGATTTTGAAGAGGTTTCTCAGTCGGATCCTGCAGAATTGAACATTTAATGGAATATTTGTAGTAAAACAAATACAGCATGGTTTATTTCGGGGAGATAGTGGGGATTACTGGTCCCTCGGTGCAGGTCAACATGACTACCTTCCGATGCGAAGTCAAGCTGACCTAGGTCAGCATGACCACCTCCCTCCATTTCGCGTCGGCGGGTAGTCAAGCTGACCTACATGTGGGGACCAGTAAATCCCACTATTTCTCCTCAAACCATGCTGTATTTGTATACTACGATCTGTCTTTCTTTTGCCGCTTGGGGGTGCACTTCAATTCGGGGTGGATACACCAACACAGATATTACCGTCTTGGAACCAAGACTAACCGTAGAGCTGTATGGTCAGACATGTCAACCTGGCCTTGTGTACTGCAGTTTGAATACCGCAACATAAAATCTACTGCGCTTGCTTGTGCCTGCAGGTTTTCCTGTCCAATACATCCAGACCTCTTTTTGCAAAAATGAACTCAAGGGAAAAAAATATTTACATTTCAAACAGGACAATATTCCTCTGCTGTTCAGTGATGTCAAATATTGGAAGTATCGTAGCAACCAGCCAACTCGCCCTTCCCCTTCCGCCCCTCATCTGTCTTTTCTTAGTCTCCAATGCATGGATCGCGTGCAATTTAGAATGCAATTAACCTCACACACGTCCCGTCCATGTGCCTCGCTCAAAACAATGGCTGGACAACGTAAACCAATGAAGCGTCAAGATTTACACGATTAGGACACACCATAGTAAAACTTTCTGTTTAATTGGCACAGTAATACGTCATGATGTGGCGTACAGTATACATGTATAATATACACCTGTGACAAAATAGACTGAACTGTATTGTGTGGGCCGTCTTGAATTCAAAGTGAGGTAAGACGTTTTATTTTGGAAACCTGAGACTAAAAACAACAGCAACGCAATAAAAGTTCAATACAAAATCCGGCCAGTTTTTGTTCAGAATAACTCAAAATTTGTGATAAATCACATCGAAATGTTTGAAGCCACATTTGAAACAAAATTTGAAAGAGAGGTTTGGCACCACCCCGTTTCACAAATCTCATTGAAGATGATGAATTACGGAACAAGATAAAATGGCTCCCATTGCGATCACAAGAAATGAAATGGCATGCATACGAATGCGACATAAATCCAACTCTGTGTATCAGCCTTCAGAAACTGTGTAAAATGTCTAACACATTGAACAATATCTACGTTACAGTGTCATTTCATGATACAATACCGACTGATTTACATTACAAGCGAAATAGCCATCTCTTAACCCTAACCACGCTGAACCCAACAAGGTTATGCGGGATTTCAATGGTCCCTAGGGGGTTAGGGTTAATACCTAACAATTATGTTGTTATCGGCTTCAGAAATAATTCAGTTTTACAAAGTAACAGCTCATGATGTAAATTGATTGACAACTCCATTGATGAACTCTGCTCTCTCACTTTCTTCTCATGATTTAGATTTTTATTTGATTGCGAAATATTATGCCGCACGAATTCTTTCTTTATGAGACGCTAACACTCAGAGACTCGGAGATTGTGTATCTTTGCCTTGGAACATACAGTACAGACTGCAGTACAGAGTGCACATCGCCCTCAACGGTGAAAATAAGCAAATCAGAAGGTAATGAAATAGTTGTCCAAAATTAATCTAATCCGCATCGATTTGAGGTTTGCCCTCATCGGCAAAGAAGAGACAGGCCGACAGAAAGTTTTTAAATTTCAAGATGTACTTTAATGACGGGCGGGCTTTGCCCTTAAACGGTTTAAATTTATTAACTTCACTGTAGGTCGACAACCATTAATGTTCACTGCCTTGAGCAAACATTCGACTTCACCATGATTTACAGGGGGTTAGGGGGTGGGCTGGGATGAAGAGGGTGCAGTGTTTCTTTGTTATGTATAGTGAGAATGGGCGTGCATTGGCCACTGTACTTTTTACCAGCAAAACATCAGTTTGAGGAAATGTTTGCAGACATGCCAAGCTCATGGTGAAAAAAGTTAATTTTGACAAAATTATGGAGGCTACTTCGTTTGCTTCAAAAACTTTGAAATTTCAGGGGAGGAAGCATCCACATGCATTTAATGCAATCATCAACTAATTCCTTGACCTTCCGAGTTCGAGTATTAATAGCGCCTACTTACAGTGCTTACGGCTTCCAGCCAGGAACTTAACAAAACCCCGGTAAAAACAATCACCACAAACACCTCACTCAACAAATAAAAACTCACACAATGGCCTAAGCTCCACCCAGCCACCATTCACACACCCACTCAAAAACCAAGCCACCCACTCTCATGCGCATTAGAACCTTGTTCCTTGTGCCGAATTTTGTTTTCGTTACATCTCGAAAGATCAACAGGTTACAATAAAGTGCTTAAAAACTGGCAGTCTTAAACTGTGGTCCAATTCAATATTATCGCCATCGCTCACGAGTACTGGATCTACAACAGGAAACTTCATTTACAAAATAACGGAAAACGTTTTGGTAATATTCACGAGAAAACCCATACACTTCCTCTTCCTAGAATCTGCCAGAAAAAAAGCAGTTTGTTTCCTTGGCTGCGAAATGCTGCTTTTTAAATGTTTGAAGGCCAGAGATGGGAGAATGTAGCCGCATGCGCACGTGCGTGAGGTAAGGGCCGTCCATAAAATATGTACGAACGAAGGAGGATGGGTGGCTGTTGGTCCCGTTACGTACACCATGGTCGAGTTCGAGCGGCCTGTTCCTGACATGTTTCTTGTTCTCGCGCTCAAACGGCGGGACCACGACTCAAGAATACTGTTCTCGGAACAGGATCACACACCACCTCCTCGTCAGAGTTTTACAGGAACACACGGAAAAACTCGTGAGAGTTTGATTTTTGAACAGCTGCAAAAAGTAGAGAGATGGCTACCAAAGCCATAGACAATGGGAAGTTTTGCAAAATTAACACTAATTATTTTCCGTAACACAGAAATATATATGCTTATATAGAAAAGAATTCAGCCCATCCAAACATTAACTCTCGAATAACGTAGCCTACATGGACGCTGCCATGTTGCATGTTGCTTGTCACTAACTAGCTAATCGGTTGTTTGTTCCCGGCGTTCGAGCGGCCGACCCACCAACAACAAATCGAGCTGTTTGTGAACATCCGGGAACAAGCCGCCCGAACTCAGCCCATGCGTACAGAGGGGGAAGTCAAGCTAGTCGTACCGTACGGAAACCAAAAATTTGCCTGTAATGAATTTTCATCATATCAATACAATTTTCATACAAATAACTAGCAGAAAAAGCTTTTGTTCGTCGAAATTCAAACACATTATCCTTCCATCCACCCCAACGTTTATCCTCCCGTGCCAACGTCCGTTAATAATAAACAACAACATTACTCATGACACAAAGATCTGGAGCGTCTTCCGGAATTTTGGAATGTGTATGCGTACATAGGGAGGGGAGGTTGGAGCCACTGCGTACGCCATGCGTACAGGGGGAAGCGGGGGTCTAAAAGGGGCCCCTTAAAAGACTGCTCGTCACATTAATTTAAATGCCCGTCACGTCTCGTGCGCTCGTGCACGTTTCATGCATGCACGTCGGCGGCCTCAGCACGGTTCCAAGTTGTTCGTGTGTCCACTCCAGTACAACCTCGACTCCATGGGCCGCGTGCGCGTCCCTTCACTAGCCCCTGGTTGTGTAGAATACGAAAATGACGCTGACTGGCTATTCATGATGAAGAAACATACATGTGAAATCAGTCCCACGCGTATTTCAAAAGCTGCACGCTCGCGACCACGTATTCTCTTGAAAGTCACGCACACGTAAATCTTCGTCACACGTAAACACACTGACTAAAGTGCTAATTTGAATACATGTATCCCAAATAATGGAATATTAAATTATACAATACCAGGGTTAGATCGCGCAAGGAATGGTAGGAACCAACATGGCGCGGCAAGATCGTACCCATGAGAACGAGGTTGCCTCGTTACGATCATCGTCGCAATGTGAAAGTACACCCTCTGTTGACCCTTTGCAGAGCAGATAAATGGCAGACCATCTTACCGTGTCTAATAAAAAGGAAATACAAAGGCCTGCTCGCCAGAGTTAACTAAATCGTTCGTGGTGACGATGGTTACATTGCTATGCGAGCCAAATATCACCAGTGTATTGGGCATGGTAAGATGGCCACCGATGGCTTCAACGATACAAGAGCATTGCAAGCCATGCAGATTTGTTTTTCATATGACGTCCGTGGTCTCACCATCCAACGTATGGCTTCAACCTTCCAAAGTGTATTAACCAACTGGGATCCAGTCTAAAACCTTGGTGCACTATGATCGCCAAATGAAAACGGACGGACAAGCAGCGCCCTCTTTAATTTACGAACAGCGCAGATACGTTTACATACATTACGTTAGATCACTTTCCCCCACACTTACTTGCGCAAGAGCTTGATCGGGTATCGCCCGAGTACATGACCCGTCGAACTCGTTATTTGAAGAAGTAATTCACAACGCTATTTGAAAACATTGCTCCTTAGGAGAACGATAACGTAAAGGAAAATTGAAGTCAGATTGAATGTCCACTGCTTTTGACAATTCGATTTCATTTTGCAAATTTAATCTATGCATGACCTCGTTACCGGCCCTGGAGTAACACCTCAAATAACCAAGTTCGTTCGGGCTCTACATGTGCCTTTCTACACGGTGACCACACCACGGATAAGTAATCAAACACGCTGTTTGGGAGTTGTGATCAGCTATCAACGGACAAGAGAGGGCGGAGCAAATAATGTAGACGCACTTCTAGTCGTTTTGATGGAAGCATAAGGGCCCTGAGCCAGATGCTTGTGGTAACGATGAGACTCCCTGAATGCATGGGACACCGGAAACCACTCGTCCTCCTGGATAGAACGTCTCACGGACCGCAAATCGAAGCTGGTTTTATCTTGCTCTGAAGACGATACCATTGAATACATAGGGTAGAATGAGAGGCCACTGGGTGAAATGGGCAGTAAAGGAACTCCCCTCCATGCGCTGACTCCTGTTAGAAATTATAAAAGAGTAAAATATCGGTTTGAAGTCAAGCAGGGATCGCTTACATGAAGCTTAGCTGCTTTCTCCAAGGAGGCTGAGAACTTAACTTGGTACATCAACTTTCGAAATGCCTGTATATTTACTCAAAACCAAGAAACGCCAATCCCTGTTCACGCTACTCAGGTGAAAACAAACTACACCTGATTGATTTTGGATTTTTGCCCTGCCCGACGTGTATTATAACACTGTATACTCGGTGTTTGCCCCCGAAGGCTTGTGGAAAAAACAACGAGCGGACCCTAGTACGCTTGTAGTTTTTTTCACATGGTGCGACAGTGTGTTCTTGGGGGTTTTTTTCTCTTCCTCTTCTTTGAATGGAAAATATGAAGAGGTACTCCAACTAAATTTGAAGAATGAACTTACTCCTTGAGAACTCTTCCGTTAAAGGGAACTGTTCAGCAAAGGATAAGAGGCCTTTTCCAGCGTCAGTGCATTCCTGGAAATTGTGCGGCATCACGGCACCACCACAGGATAGGCCATATCTTGCGCTACCGTCCGTTCCGTTGAGTGTGCCGCCCTCATGTGGCCTGATTGGCGAGCGCGCATACGTGTGTTCTTGTATTAGCGTCTCCACTCGCTCTCTGCTTGGAGGTTTGAAAGGGAAAAAAAATTACCGTTATTCTCCTGGTCTTTTCATGATAAGGTTTCTACGAGGCATTCTTTTCTTGAAAAATTGCGGAGCAGAAATATTATTTATTTGGGTACATTTATTAGATCGTGGTGGGGATCTTTCTTTGAGAAAATACACTCACAAAAAAAACGATTTTAGTATCCAAAGCAGAAGACAGTTTGCTTTCGGCCACCCAACACATCATGAATATAAACGTCCTCAATGGTAAATGCTAAACATCGCTGTCGACCGGGGACCCTTCAGTGTCATTTCCACCACATGGGTGCGTTCAGTTACGTTCCTTCCACTCGACAACCATGCAGCATTTGTGCACATTCGGCAGAAAATTAGTCAGGCAGTGCCCGCTTGGATTCTAGCCTGAGGCTGAACGGTTGATATACTGAAATCACACAACGGGCATTTCAGTATTACAGTTATTTCAAAGGAGATGCTGACAGCGCTATCACAGAAGCATGCTGCGGGGTGTAAAATCTTTTACTGGAAAGCGACACAAGCTCCGTTTTGAGTGTCTCTGTTTACTAGGGAACATTGCTGTATTGCCAAAAGCAAAAAAAAAAAAAAGATGCAATAAAAAGCATCATTAACCTAAGAGTTTCCTCTTCAAAACCACCTAAGTTATACATGTACATAAGTACGTGTGTGTGTGTGAAAGCAAGAAGTACACCGGACTATAGGACCTATGGTTAATTAATTTTTTAATTCTATCATAGTCAGCACATTTATTGGAACTTCAACCGGCGACAGAATGCGTTTTAAAAATCGAACAAGCCAGGTCTTCACAAGGGGAAGTAGAACACCCGCACAACCCCCCCCCCTTTTAGAATACTTGCTCATTTTGATCTTCCACCAACGCAGGACTGGACCCGCCATTCATTTTATGCTGAGAAGTGGTATCCAGTAGATAAGAAAGCGAGCGCATATGATGGCAAACTGTCTGTAGTGTCCTAAAATGCTCTTTAAGATTCCTGAAAATCCACAGTGACGCGGACAGTGTAGAACCGCCGATAAGAGAATTCATCGATGAAGCGTGCTTGGAGCAGGAAAGATTAAGACAAATTTAATGATGCACGTGCATCATCTTAAGAGGCGTCAGCATGAGCAGGATGTGGAGGCCTTGTCAAGAGGGCGCGAGTTTGGAGAGATAGCCTTTCAAGTCTGGTCTGCCGGGTGTCAAAACTTACCAGTAATCGTCTTCAATAGCAATGAGCGAAGGCCCGTTGACGGCGTCACAATATTCACCACCATAAAGGCTTAATGTGAGTTTAGACCAAACTCGGGGCATTCGCTTCTCCCCAAAAACTACCTCTCAAATTTCCAGCGAGCCTGATAGTTCAGTTAAACTTATCAGTGTTGTTATAGTCTCCTGAAAGCATCTTAGAGATAACGTTTTATCGAGATTATCGCTTATGGCACGTAAACACTTTCGAATGTTATCAAAAACATTAGCGTGGTAATTGGTATTCGGTAGCCGGCGGTTTAATGAACACGAAGAGCGCGAAGGATAACTAATCGCTGAAGTAAACAACTTGTACAGGGCCGTCCGGTAATGCATACAATCTGGCAGCACTACAAGGCAATTCTATGGAAACAGTAAAAAGCGCTGGTAACCCTTGATTTCTTCGAGTGGCGGTGGTGTATGTCTGTGCTGGAAATTTGGGGGGATGGAAGATGGGGAAAAGTGGGGGATGACATGAAATTTTTTTTTGGGGGGGGGAATATTACTCTATATAGAGAGTGGTGCTTATGATATCAATGTGCATCTGTAATACATGCATGTATTAAGAATGACATATGGCTTTTTAAAATTGCTCTTAGTTCTTTTGAATGCATTTTAGTTGTTGGAAGTCTGAAAAAATCTTCGCCATCCATTTTAATTTTCTGCTCACCACAAAAAGTGTGGGGGATGGCTCAATAGGCCCCCCCTCAAAAAGGGGGATATATACCCCACCAATCCCCCCCCGGATTTTTGCCCATATGGCCTGGTGTCATTATGTTTTTGTTTTCGAATTCTAATTCGACAGTTGCCCCTGGATCAACCCTTGTGCGTGTCTATGACATGCGCACGGTGCACATTGATAAAACTGCGCTGCAAGTACAGTAATTTACAATATATTCAGCAACGTCCAGCGAATGCGCTTGGATAATGGGATTAAGTGATGCGTTCGGTTTGAAATGTTCTGTGGCTCATCATCTCTCACTGCGTTCCATGTTGTGTTGATTTTAAAAAAATTTGAGGAGCTTCTGCGTGGAGTCTACTGACAGGGGTAAATGTAATATGAAACATGGAACTACCTTTCAAAATCGGATAATCTGGATGAATCTCTGAAGCCTTTGGCGAAGGGATTGCTGTCAATCTTCAGTCGAGTGATCTGGTCAGGAAAATTGCAACAAATAACAAAGATAGTACGGTATCAATTGTTGGTAATGCGAGAGGTGTTTCAGTGTCAATTTAACACTAGACGATTCAGTCACATTTCCCCATGCAATCTACCCATGCAAACTCTCAGACGGTTGAAGTACCTCCACATACTTTTAGCCACAGTACAAAATTTATTAATTAATAGAGTGTACATTTAGGCGTTAGTCTCTGCAGCAGCCCTGGCTTGAAATCAAGTCTATACTTCTCCCTAGGCCCTTGTACAGAAAGGCTACACTGGCCGCATAAACAGCTTGTCAAAATCCATACGATTTTTTTCCACTCTGTTAGCAAAAAACATTCAAAATGATTTTGTGTCCATTTTATTTCAATTTATATTAACACATTTATATGACTATGAGTCCCAGAATTATATCATATAACTGTATAAAAGTGTGGACAGCCGTGTTGTAATTGTAATTCTATTGTAGGGTAACAGCTATGACTTTTGTACTCACTCGAGAATTTATTGGGTGAATATTGAGGAATAATCTCCGGTTAATGTTACTGGTAGTTGTTATATTAGTAGATGGGTCAACCTACGAGTACAATGATGTCAAAGTGGTTACTGCGCATATTATACACTCAACCCTTCATAATAACGACTAATAAGAGTCCTTTTTCTTGCAAGTGTAGCCTTGTTTGTTGTTCCTATGAAATTCTGGTGACTCTGTGCAGTGGGCTAATACGGGCGATTCACAATAGTGCGCCTCCAAGAGTTTGATATGCGTTGGCCAATCCCGACGCGCGAAATTTGTCGACGCTTTCTGTCGAAATGGGTTGACAGATTTTGCGCACTGTGATTGGCCAACGCGTTTCAAACTCTTGGAGGCGCACTAGTGTGAATCGCCTGCATTGCTAGAAGCGGCCACGTTCCAACAGTCTCACTTACCAGCTGGTTCTGGTAGGCGGTGACCGCTGTAAAGGCCGTCTCGGCAAACTCATAGCTCCTGAGCTCGCTGCTGCTCAGTGACGTCAGTGAGGGCGCCATTGCGCCGGCGTGGGCGTCCGCCTTCCTAGCGATGTGCACCCGAGGCTGGTATCTGTGCATCGAGTTGAGAATGATCTGCCGAAGGACGAGTGACAGGGGAATACCGTTAGTGAATACTCACAGGGGACCTGTGGCTCAGTAGCCTATAGTTACGGTTTGTAACTCCCGACCGTGGGATCAAGGGTTCGAATCCCACCTTGGGTATGCGTTGCGACTTTTGGCAAGTCTGTTTTATCCCCACTGGCCTCACCTCAGCCACGAGTATAACATGGTTGTACGAGAAGGCAGAGATGATGGTTGTGTATACTTGTTTGTGACGGAAATAGCAACATGTACCCACGTACTCCCCAGGGGGCTGGGATGGTTTCCGGACTGTTTAAGGGTGCGGTGAGCAGCGCCAACCTTACATACCTAGTGTGGACTTGTGAACAAAAGATGTCCACACGATGCAGGAAAGGAAGACGTTCTGTGGACTTACTCATGTCCACAGGAAGTTTCCCCTTCTCTGAAAAAGAAGTTTAGAGGCATTTTGGGGTAGGGGTCATCTGTCGTAAAAGGAAGAGGAATAGTCAAGGAAACCTTGTACAAAAAGCCAGCTGAAAATTGTGTTCCCAGTTCAAGAAAAACGAGTATTTTCATTGAGTTTTCTTGACTGCACGAAAAGAAGGAATGTCCACGCTAGATATGTAAGGTAAGTATGGGTGTGGTAGTAATGGTGAAGTACCCTGAACACCAGTGCTGAATTCTGTGCCCTTTAAAAATATCCATTATTAAGTAAACGAGGCGTGAATTAAATTGGGAAACATATACAAAATATTTGAGCGGCGTGTAGATAGTAAGTCTCATTCCTTGGGCTCACCTGGGGGTTAAGTATTTCAAGTTGTACCTTGACACAAAACTGAATAATGTATAAAAGTCTGGCTATGCATGTACAGTTTATACATGTATACAGTTGGTAAAATGAACCAACGTGAAGAAATAATTAAAATTCAGTTGAATAAGACTAACATCAACATGTGCTGTCCAACTCGAACTAGTCATGAAATATGGGTACCGGGAAAAGCATTAAAGGGGCAACATTGCTTCTATTTTTATTCGACACCACAGTGTTAAAAGTTCAAATACCTTCTACATTTAATACTTAAAAATAGGAAGTGCTATACATCTTGGACAGCACCTTGAATAATTTAGATTTTTTTTTTTACTCTTGGCGTCAAGACTATTTTGGACTCTAATTTATCAAGCTTTAATCGCTGCGCGCAGACTGACTGTCATAAAAAGTTTTGATAGAGAAGCATCCCGGTCAAATGGGGGGGGGTGTTGAAGTACAGAATAATGATATCATGAGAGATTATCATCACCGTCCCACGACCCGCCTCCAAAGTCTCCTCCTTGAAAGTTGTTTACAACACCCACTTTCTGGGATAACAAATGGCAAGACTGAAAAGTTGGCGAGGAAATTTATGATTACATGAAACTTACAGATTCTCCGAACCCCCCCCCCACCCTCACCCAACCGCGTGACGGACCCGTGGACGCACGCAGAGACATCAGAGGAAGTTGGAGTATAGCTAAACGGTCGAGAAGTAAGATTCACATTGAAAGAACCGCGAGAATGTCACTCATCGAGGCGATATTTACGACTAGCTCTCAATAGTGGGCGACCTTTGACATCCACGCGAAAGTTAAAACAAGCAAAGGCGGGAATTATACGGCGGGATGTCGTTAAGATGGCGTAGGGTCTGGATGAGGGATGACATTTTCGTCTGCCGCAAATGGCGGGCCTCTAGGACTGCAGGCGCCTGGCTTGTCAATGAGAAATGTCTTTCTGTAATGTATTATCACTGGGGAGACCCATCCGGCACAAACACACACACGCAAGCGCTCTATATCACGCACAGCATCCAACGGAAAAGTCCAGCGAACATAACAGACACATTTCCCTCGGCTGGCTGTCATCACTGCTATGATTGAAGTGACTGGGGTCAATATCGTATATAACACCGGACAGGACGCGCCGACCGCCCGCTCCTGCATGTGATCTATGAACCGGTGACGACGACGCTGCGCAGAAATTTATCACTGTTTCAAGAATTACCCTACTTGTTTTACAGTGGCTAGCTGTCAACATATTCTTGTGGAAAGAAGGATTTTGGGAAAAAGTGGAGTGACAATCATTGAACTTCCGGACAAGATTGCTTCCAGTACTCGACATATTCTCTATCATTCTTGACGCCTCAAGATCGATGTAAAAAGTTCTACTGATTTCTCTTCTTCTGAGTTTAAGTACAACTTTTAATAAGTCTAAGAAATTCCACTGGAATCTTTCGTTAATTCTAACCTGAAGTGCCCAGGGCGCAATCCATCTCTTGACATTTTTTGACATCGTCCCAGTGTCTTTTTTTGTCACGTGCCGAGCATTCAGGAGCTTTTCATTAATATCTTGCAGTCATCTTGACACAAATTGTGTAAAGATCAGATTCACTGTTCTTGCGCAGCACCCATTTTTTGGTAGACTGGTCAGTCAAAATTGTACTTAAGGCTCTGCTCGATGCACGCCGGTCGACACACATAAGTTTATAAAGTTAAGATGACCTAACAACAATTCCATAGGTTGGATTGAGTTGAAATTTCAAGTTTCTACCGAAAATAAGTAGGCCTATTCAAACTTGCTTGCTAAGTTTTGGGGAAAAAACTTTAAGCTTGGGTCAGCTGGGTTCTTAGGGGGCAGAATCCGCCCCAACCAGCTGAAGATGGTCCCGATAAAACGACTCTGTCATGGTTAAAGGGGGCTAAAGTTCGTCTCTGGACTGTCTTCCCTCCGCTGTCAGGTGGACCGTGCAGGCATATAAGGGTGTCTACCTTTAGAGTAATGTCCATTTAAACAATGAAGTTGCTAAAGTCAACTGAGGTTGAGCGTTAAAATAACCGCATACCGCCGTTTTTCAAACGGTGAAAAATAGTAGCTTGTTTAGGAGGGCGCCCTGCTACCCTTGAGACGAAGGAACAGAACGCCCTGTTTTTTTTACTCCAATGATGTACTCCTCTACAAGTGCAACTACAGTATGCGTTAGTGTCCACCGCCCTTACGAGGAGCTTGCTGAGAAATGGTAAACAGCTTTCACAAAAAAATTGTTACGGAAATACATAACATGCAACTACGGACACGCAATGCATTATGGGTTGCTTGCGCACGCAGTGTCACACACATGCAGAAGGGAGGACATGAGTTATTGTTCAAATGAACTCTACCCCACCCTGGCGCCTTGTCGGAACCTTAGAGACGAGAGCTACCATAGTATGGCTACAGTTCATGTCTTATTATTTTTAACCAGGAGAAAAACAAGATGAACGTACGTGACCATGTTGATCCTGCTCGTTGTTGGTGAGCTTGACTTTCTCGAAAGACACCATCTGCCTTTGCAGCTGGTCGCCAGTGAACGGTGAGTCAGGGTGTACGTAAAGGCGTGGAGGCAAAGGAGGGTCGGCCTTGCCAGCTACCAACCAAGACGAACGGTGGTAGGCGTACCTGTGATGATGTTCAAAAAGGTTTAGCTGCTTTATTAACGTAAACCAATACATGATATGAGTAAATACACGTTTTCAATTTATCCTGCTCCATTTTAGTCTCGGAATCCAAAATTGCTTTCTTCCATGATGGTGTGCTAATTGGTTGGTCGGTTTTGTACCTTTTGGTCTCGTAAAAAGCCGTGGTTAGTTTGAATTACAGACTGTCAGCTGGACAAATGCTATGGTCAAAATGGTCTGATTAGCCTAAGACCAGTCAGTTTTCTCTCTTAAAAGTGGACACTCAGGTCCCATATCACAGTACCTCTTGGGAGACAATGTTATCCGGCAATTTGTCCCAACTTCAAGCACAACTATAAGCTGGGAACCAGACAGCAATGACACGAAATAGTATACACCTTTGAGCTGGTAAGCTGCTGTTGCTTTGCAAAACTTTTCCGAGCAAATTTGCGCGTAAAATTAGTTCCTGGCCGTGGAGCTGAGAGCCTACCTGTAGCGTTTGTTATCAAGGGGAACTATATCCAACATGACAACGTAGCGGGCCTCTGCGGCTACTCCACTGAAGGAAACACGGACGGTAGGGAACATCCGCCTGGGGGTGGAAAGAAAAACATCTTAGTTGCAAGTGCTTCAACGAGTTCATATTTGTCACATCCCGTTATACATTAGGGTTAAATGATAAAAAAGAGGCAACAAGTTTTCAGCTTCAAGATGAAACAAATTTAACAGACCCAGGTAAATACTTCCTTATGTTGTGGTTTGAATTCAACAATATAGCGGGAGATTCAAGTTTCGAGATCGGAGCAAAACTGTAACATTACCGAAGACTGGACTGCATTGATCTTTATGACTGACTAAAAGTGACAACTGATGCATCTCTTTTTCTCAACAGAAAAGGAATGGTGAATTGAATGCGGAAAAACCCAGGGGAAGCATGTAAGACTTACATCATTAACATAGTTAAAGGAATTTTAAAGATCATCTTGATTTGAAAATAATACTGCCCCTGAAAAGCAAAAGTTAGGCCACATACTAACCTTCAGCTTTGTCCCTCACCCCTGGGGTGGGGTAGGGGACACCTGGGTCTTTTCTTATATATCCCAAACATAAGCAAAGAGATGCGGGTTCAACTTACATCAAAAGAATTCATGATGTTAAAACTCAAAAGTGGAAAAAAGCTCAGCTCATGGTGTCATGATGAAACAAATTGCAGATCGATGACGATATTCTTCTTTTATTAATCTTGACAAAACGAAATGATATGCATAGAGTTCAACCCAGCCGTTTTATCGCTGCGTGTATTTACTGAGTTGTACATGTACATGTATATACCTGCCCGTTTTCGTAATGATCATTTCTGTTCCAAGCTCGTGAAATTTTTCCCACAGCTCCCTGGTTTCAAGTCGGCACCGGACGGCTGACATCTCATCGATGCAGTTGGATCCCTTATCGGCATCCCCAGCGCCTGGCCCGGCGCCGGGTGATGCCTCACCGGGATCAAGCGGCGAGCGCGATGGGTCCAAAGTGAACGCCGGACGGTGGGGCAGTGTGGCTGCCGTCACAGTGCCGTGCGGAGTAGGGCTTGATGGAGCACTTTGTGCAGACCCTTGCTGAGCGACACGGCTATAGGGTGAAATGGGAGTTGGTACCAGCTGCAAGTAACCTGTTTAGAGGGGATATGAATCAATACCATCTGGCCTCCTCGTCATTTCTGACAAATAAGCACCAAATTACCCTGATATTTATATAATATTGACCAATGACAGACTATGAAGTTTCCCTGCGTCCTAGAAACTTAGTATCACTCCAAATTTCAAAGTCCGTTAATACCGAGAGTGTAAGGCTTTGCAGGCACACGAGGAGGTAAAAAATACAGGAGCTTTGTGTTTCCATAACGATAATCTGGCAAAACCAGCAAATGATAACAAATAATCAACCTGTCATTTCTCGTAATTTATCGAGGTGTATTATGTACATTAAGTTACCGAAGGGCTGCGGAAGGGGAGTATGCCAAAACGATAAAATCTGTTTTTGTCCCTACAAGGACTTCCAGCTCAGCCTCCTGCGGTCTATGAAACAACGCTCCTTTGGCCCACTCTACAAAGTACAATGCCCGCTGGAAAGCTGGCACCGTGGTTGACACTGCTTCACTTAACTTGTCAGCACCTACGGGTAGTTATAACCCAAGTACAATTCCGCAGGACCGCGAGACTGCGTAACAATAGCTACGGGGTTTGAGGCTATACGGCAGCCACTGTAAGCCATCCCCCCCCCCTCGATCGTCTGTAACAAGCCAATCAATCTGGCACGGGCAAAAAATGCGAACACAAAATCATCAGTGGTGCTGCGTATTCTATTTTACGACTTGCCCTAAGCACCAAAGTAGGCAAATTGGCCGAATCAGGCTGGAACAGTCCCGGGCATTATTCATGTCGATCCGGTCGTAATCACCGCACAATTAGGTCCACATCCCTCAACGTGATTGATCGACAGTGTTCATGAAGATGTTTTCGATTACGACTCTGACTTTGGGGTGGCCAGTTTACGAAATCCGGAAGGGCGGAAGGGATCTCTAGACGATAAAATCCTCCATTTTGATACTAACGTTTTATTAAAGGGGCATTGAAAAGTTTTGTCGGCCCACAAATCGTCCACCAAAGAGACAGTATTAGTGCCGTTGTACGTTGGAACTATTTATTTCGGTTGACCCAAGTCAATTTTCAGTTTTTGTGAAGCACGCTTTGAAAATTATAGTGAAAGGTCAAAAGCCATACTTTACTGTAGTAATAATATTACTAATATTGAACACGATATCCAGATTACCAAAAGAGGTAAATTAGGTTAACGTAAATTGTAAACCAGAGAGCCATTTTGATAAATTTATATTACTAACACAAGGATTGAACCTTTCAAACATGGCTTGAATTTTTTTTTATTCTTCATCATTACATACGACACTAGCTTTCTTTTATCATGACGCAGGTGCTTGACTGATTCGACTGATCTGTTATGACATAACTGAATGAACAACTTCATAACTTAGCACGACATACATTGACCACGTGGTAGTAAACATGAACAAAAATACGCAAAATCGTGACGCGTGTTTCAGTGTGGTTCTAAGTGTACAGTAAGTGTACAGAGGAGATTCAGCTAAGTGACGACCCTGTTGGTAGCAAGACGACATCATGCTCGACGAGGATTTTTGATGAAGTTTCTAAACAAACCAGATATATAGAGATACTAATTATGATCACCAGCGAGTTCCCATGTCAATAAGGTGGATACCCGAAGACGCTCTGGTACCCGACCCAGCCAAATTTGGCATCCACTCGTAGTGCATAACCGGAGCAGAGTTCCATATTAAAATGGAAACAGTAGTTATAGCCCAGGAAAAAAAACAGTATCGTTAACATCAACCCCCCCCCCCAAAAAAAAGAGGGAACATGACCGTCAACCGTTACAAAGATACGAAAAAATGTTGTTGTTATTGAAAAGTTGAGCAGTTTGGAGGGGCACTGCATGTTTCAAACCAGGACACAGCCTCACTACATTATAAAAATAGCTAACTGCACAAAACTTCGGTACTGGTTTTACTCTGGGAACCGTTGGCCGGGTAGCTTGGAATAGATACTTGTACCACACATTCTTATCTTACTATAAGTTCGGCAGTGCATAATGTGCCACGTCGATTTTCAGCACCTACGTAGGAACAGAATGAAACCACTTTTCAGTAGGCCTATGAACTCCAACATTTTTTGATCAGAAAAATAATGCTTCAGATTATGCGGTACTTTTATAAGGAGCGCCTGCATTTTTACCCCCTCGGAAAATCCAACATTGGAGTATGTGAAAAAGAACTTATTTTTCAGATTTTTCAGATATTTTTCCTTACTTTGTTTCACGTGCCGTGTATGGCTATTACCCCAAATGCAGTTTTGAGGGGAAAAAGGTTTTTTAGGTTCCGTAACCATTTCCCCCGCTAGCATGCTCTCCCTTATGAACATAACGTCGGTCACATTAATTGAACGCCGCTTATCGGGACCAGTGACTTCAACAGGTCTTGGTGGGCTTACAGCCGGCCAGAAAGGGATAAACTGTATCTAGTTAAACCATTTCAAAGACAAAACAAATTTTACTGCTATCTATGAAAAGGTGAAATAGTAATTGGATTATCTATCGCACCACAGCCGCAGTCATTTTGAGGAGACCAATAAATCACTGAAGAACTGAATTAAGCATTTATCTAGTAATGTTAAGTGCTCACACATTTGCAACTTTTGCACTTTGAAACAGCCGTTACTTAGCAGCTTTGTTTGCATCAAGATGAAAACAAATAAATATATTTACAGGAGTTGAATACTTAGTCAAGAGAAATCATGAGGAGAAGACATTTCATTCTACATTTAATCTGGAAAGAAATTTACCTGAGTGGTTCTGCGCCGACTGCCGCGGCTCGCTGATCGCCTCCGTAGTCCTGGTCTTACTACCAGCCATGAGTGCCTCGATGGAAAATGCATTCGCCCGGCTAGACAGCTGTGACTTGGGCTGCTCGGAGCCGCTTTCGTGGTCCTCCATGATCTATCTTCGCTGTAACAACGCTGAACGTCTTTCATACAAAGGCTTTATGCTCAGCGATTTTGTCTGTTTTAAACTTTGTTTTACGGTGGTACGCTTAAGTGGGTTTGCCTGATTCCGTCGTTTTGCAAGTTATCCCCAGATCTGTCTTTATCGTATCGGATGTTTAGATAATTTGTAACGACTAAACGACTAGATTTGACAGTAATGAAGTGACAATGCGCCAACCATGGGACCTCACTCCAGTTGATTCTGCGAATGAAACAGTCCAAGGCGTCTTGGTTGAATCATCGAGCGTCTTACTGGAGAAATGTTGCGAATTGGAGACGCACTTAGTAGAAGGCAATTAGGAATTTCCAGAAGACGACGCAATTTCAATTCTTTCGAAAAAATGTGCTACCCTACAGACCGACGTGCATTGCGTATAAAATAAGCGGTCAAATCTCTCTCCAGTTGCGTCACATATGAGTTTAACCGGGTAGTAGTTACACCAGGAGATGACAGCCTTTAGTAGGACGATTCGAAATAAATATCTGCCACACAAGTCCATTTAGACTCCCTCCAAAAATGACAGTCATTCAGCAGTCAACTATCGCGACTGCGAGACACGAGGGCCCGCCAGTCACTCAGCTTGCGGAGCTATAAAAAGCGGGCCATGCTTCATCCACACTCGACTAAGTATCTTGGGAGGGAGACTGGTGTTGGCGCGTCCAAGCGCGGCGCTAACATTTCCGAACAAGCTTGATGACAGCTGAGAAATGTTGAGCACGATCGCCTGTCTCCATCCTTAAAACAAGAAAGAAGGGAGCAGAATCTAGCAGGGACGTCCCTCCAGAGCTGAAGTTTCTTCAAGACAGGCTGTTCTCTAGTGTGGCGCAGCCGGCAACACGGCGAGACTTATCGAGATAGTTAACATGTAGGCCTGGGTTCGGTTCATGTAAATAATAATGGTCGACTAAATGGGCTGGACCTCACGTGGTGATAATCTGTCTGGCTTTTAGTAACGCATTTACAACACCGAGGAAAATGACAACTTCTGCAAGTTGTCAGTGTGATTGGGCGCGGGGGTGATCCCCAGCCGGGACATGCTTGTGTGGCTTGGGCGGCTGTCTCGCGCCAGAGACGAAGGGGGCCTTTTAAGCGATCAGTCCCCGGTGCGGTTGGGAATATTTTTTCGCTACTTAATGCAGAACAGCAATCGCCATCATCACTTTGTTACAAAATCTCATCACTGCTCCGGCATTGCGGCCTTGGCTAAGTTGCTTTTCACTTGAGCATTCCATGCCCACTATCTACCCATTCACATAATTGCTCTCCAATTTGCACACACTCGCGTGCACACACCCACAACTGTGACGTCATGGGATAATGACCAATCGAAACCGATGTAGCGAACGCGATTGATTTCCCATAATCCAAAGCGAAAAAGTTTCATTTTTTTAAGCGTTGGGATTCCATCACGTTTTAACGTAGTGGTACCGTACACCGAAATGGGGCCCAACTTTATGCCGAGGTCACAGTACAACAGTAGAAGTGTGGGAAACGTAACTTAGACGACGGACTTCAAATTAAAACTTAAGTTTTATTCACCTCGTCACGCTCTGGTGACATTAAGCGGTTACTACCTCCAGTCTGCCTTTTCCAATGCAGCTCACGTTGAGGGTATTGTTTCTTAAGACACGATTCGTGTCAACTGACAGCGCTTGAATTACTACGAAAACTATGGACCTGAGGATCATTACACTTGCGTGTTTTCTTGCGGCCGGTTTTCGGATAAAGACAGCTATTATCTTCGGAGAAGGGGGAACTTTCTGAATATAGTTATCATGGATAATTTGAAGAAATGTGCAAAACAGCACAGAACAGTTTTCTTTATCGGCAATTCATACATAGTTGTCTCTCTTTTTTTCCAATTAAAAACAGTTACGGTGATCGCATTAGGGAAAGAGATACGTCTCAGTGGTCCTAACGTAATCAAACCCTTCCTTATGCTACTGTCAAAAGAACATTTTGTTTTGTTTTTCTTTGTTTTTCTTTACACGGCATTCTTTGACATACGAACAGACAATAGCATGGCAGGTCTTACCTCCATGACCGTGATCAACTTCATGCGCGGCCCCAAATCAGCAGAACTCATTTGTTTCCACTTGTCCCGCTTCCGCCATTGAAAGTCGGCAAACGGTAATCGGTAGCCAATCTAAAAGCACATGATAACTGCGTCGCGAAACACAGCAGCAGTGGCGGTGCCCTATGTGCGCACCGTACCGCTGCGTTAGCAAGGTGACGACATGTTGGTCGGTGGACGTAAATATATCACCTGACCTTCGGTGACCCCGCGCTTCTTTGGCCTCCGTCCGTGCCGTCAGCTTGTGTGGCCCCACTTGCACTGTAATATCCACACACGCACTAATACCCTGCACACCCCTCAAACAAGAAAGACAATTGAAGTAACCGGCAATAAAAGCACTGGGGATTCAGAAGACTGGAAACACTACCAGACTTCTTGTTAGCTTACTGATAGTCCTTTGGTTATCGAGTGCATTATTTTCATTCTCTCTGGAAGGCAGCTTTGGAGAGATTCCTTCCTGCGACGTTTGTTACGCTATACTGCAAGTTCAATAAAAAAGTAAATAAGCCCATTGTTTTAACACACATCAAGACTACGTTATTTATACTGTACGAGTGGTTCTGTGTAGCAAGATGCTCACAAACACTGCATTTGCGGAATGATGGGTTGGGTTCTGCGCAAGGAGACATGTACATGGGCGAAATATTTCGTTCTATGTGAACAAAACCTGTAGACGTTGGGTGTTCTAAATATCCCTTTAACTTTGGGTCATCACGAAGAAAAATCAGTGACTGACCAAGTACTTGTGACATCCTATCACAAATTACTGGAGATAATAAGATTCTGTCAGAACTGTGAACCGCTGCTAGGCCTGCCCACATCATCTGCGTGATTTACTAAATAGAGCTGATCTTACAAGCGAACGTTCCCACGAGCAGTCTCACCGGGACATTCTTATGCCCTTATTTAAAAGCGCGGCCAAAACAAAAGAATGTAGCTATCACTTCGCGCCCAAAACCTATGGTACAACTGTTAACCGACAAGGCGACAAACAGTGGATGAAAAAATACTGGGAAAAAAATATCTTAAATCATTGCCCTCACTATCTCCAAGATATGAAACCAATCGACGAGGAAGCGAGATTTCACGTGCTGCTTTGAACATAAATGGAAGAATGTTAAGTTCCTCAACAGCGCTTATAACAGTAAAGGTTGTGAAGAGCACGCGGTCTAAGCACTGATAATATTTTAAAACTCTGCAGCAAAGCTCAGAAGACAAACTGCTCCCCGGCGTTAGACTAATCTCACCCGGGTGGTACGACAGGCCAAGCCCGGTAGACATACAGCAGACGCAGTCCCCTAAACGTAAACATATTGACGGTATGGGAGTGTTACCGTTTCATCATCGACCTGGGTATAGGTCTACTTGACACATGGGGTTTTAGTTTCAAAAGTAGGAAAAAACATGCACAACTTTTGTTGAGAGGAGTATGCGTGGAATTTGGGGGATTTATTTATAAAAAAAAAAGTATCACGCTGTATAGGTGTTCTTTCTGTGGGAATTAATACTGCACTGTGGCCATAAAAGCAAGCGTTTACTTCAAAAATGTCTCCAATAATTACTCTCTACTTATGTAGACTTTAATTAGTCTATTTCTTAATATGTCTCTCAGGGTTACTGGACCTGCCGTGTTTTGGTTTAGGTCTATGATGTGTGTTAATGTCATGTTAAATAATGTACTGGAGGATCCTGCTCTACAAGCTCCTTGCTTCTTGGGAACCCCCCCCCCTCATTCAAATTTATTTTTTATATATAGCCTAATCGTGACATATTATAATTGACAGTTATGTGGTAAAATAAGAAATGAATGAATGAATAATTTCATGACACAACATATTTCCCTTCAGAAAAGCAATCTTCACAAGCAAATATCAATGAAACTCGGGCAAGGGCGGATCTAGAACTGTGTATTCGAGGAGGGACCAAAAACAATGTTTTGGGAGGGCCACAGAATTCAGAATTTCTTCCTGTAGCTTGTTGCAACCTTTTGGAGGTCGAGACAGATATTTGTGGGCTTTCTGAACGTTTTGGGGAGGAGCCTCCCTAAATCCGGTTGTTGTTTTTTCATCAATTTCCGGGAAAGAGAATTCCTTTGGGGGAAGGGAGTATCGCCCCGTTACATCCACTCACTAATGGGCTTAGGTGCGACATGCATCACCTTTGCGAAACACTTGGCCTGGTGAATAGACTAAAGCATCAATCCTAAAAGTTGTCTGCATTCCAACTCCGATTTCTTTCAAGCATGAAAAAAATCTACAGGTCTGACGTCGATTACTTTGTCGGGAAAATCTTAAAGCATTTAAAGTGAAAATATTGGCAAAAGTATTATTGCGCTTGAAGGGCTCCCCTTCGCTTTTAAAATATTTGGGGGGCCGAGAGAAAAACTTTTTTTTCGAAAAGCATTCAATTTTAGTTGATCCGGGTTGACACCATTAATGAAAAAATAGGAATTGTGCCTTTCATTGTTTAACCACGACGCAGTTATGGAAGAAAATGTACCGAAAATATTCAAAACTTGTCACAAAGCAAACCAAAGGGTAGTCTCGATATCAGTCAATACGGAAGTTTATAAGAGCCACATGCAAAATTGTTTGTGACCCTTATACGCTTCCGCAGTTAAAGAACTCAAAATATTTTTTTAAAATACATATGACACATTCAAATGAATTATTCTCCAATAATATAAGCCATTTTTTCAAGTATGAGCTTTTGATGTATAATCCCTTGGTCGCCTATCCTATCAGAAAGTGCAAAGCAAAGTGCAACGACGCGTCACCGGAGTTAGGCCACTTAGCCAGAGGTACAAGACCGCCTGAGAGCAGCATGGCCGATCCCACCGTCCAAGTTCATCATCACTTGCTCCAGGGAGGTAAACGTTAGTCAGATCAGACAGACACCAACCTATTACTGGCTTATTGCAATTCTTAAGTCACGAGCCAATTTCTAAAAAAAAAAATCCACCTCTACTTTTGAGTTTCTGGATGCCTCCGCCCCGTTGGGAATGCAACTGTAATTGTGCACGGCTAGTTATAAATATCGCCACGCCCAACCACCGACATTGAAAATTGAAACGACCCGTGTGTGTATCTTTTATTCTGCCTGTGCTTCCGGGAAGGTCTTAACCCCAAGCGGCGAGACAGCCTTTGACTCGCCCGTGGCAAGGCGCTCTTCAACGGGGAGAGCCTCTGTCGTCGACTTGGCGGCCAGAGGGTCTTCGGGATTGTTACTTTTACGAAAAAGGGAGATTTAAGACTCTGGTATAGCAGCTGACGGTGTTTTGGTGAGCGGCTGACAGACAGGTAGAGAACAATTTTCTTCCCATCAATAGTGGCCGTCACGATGTGGTTTCGGCTATATTCATGATTTAATGGCCGGGAAAGGCAATATCTTTGGTCGAATTTATTGGTTTGCAAATTCTATTCGTATAACACTTGTTGAATATTAACGGCTTATATACAGCAGGTTGTGTAAAACTAAAGCGTTCAACCGCAAAACGAACGCACACAAAATCGACCTGACCGCATGATTCGCGGTACGTATTGCAACGAGCAAGCAAAGCGTCTCAGTCATCGGCAGCAAAGCATCAACTGATGCACTAACTGCGGTGTTGGTTTAACACCAATGGAATTTATATCAGGTGGCACCAGTCCGGTGTTCAGTACATTGTTAATTTATGATACCAATTTACACAGTTTAAACACAACAGTTTAAGTTGAGTAAAAAACTTCACCCCTCAGTCTCTTAAAGTAAAAATGTTACAATTGAAAAGTAAGGCTTCTGTCAATCCACCGGACGGTTGTTTGCTTTGTTATGTATTTTGCAAAGCTGCATTTCAAGAGCTTAGCGTATCTAGATATTCTTTTGAAGGTTTCTGGAGGTAAACCACGAAATCTTTTCATATTGAAAAATTTTAAAAATGTATACAGGGGTGCACAAAATATGTAGCAATCAATGACGCTAGCCTCTTCCCTTGAGAAACTTTTACGCAATGAGATGTGTGTGTTTGACGTCCTTTCCGGACAGTTTCTACCATAAAGCTTGTATTACATTCATAAAACTTTACGAGTGACTTGAGTATTTTTCTCTTTTTACCCTTTTCTCTCGGAAGATATTTCCGTGGAAATTTCTTTGATTTAACAAGCTACACGTATGTTAACGCTGACCCTCTAAGGATAGGAGACACGTGTTCCTGAAGTTTAAGCAGACCCCCCCCCCGAAAGAAGTTCCAGGACTCCTTGGGCAGATCTCGCGTCTGGCTAGCATCATCTGCTTGTCCTAAGCATCGAAGACGGGGAGCAATCCGCTCCGGCGTCGACCGTTATCGGTAGATTAGGCCAAGGGCTTCCAGATCCCGGTAAACAAGTCAGCGGGTTCACTGTCCCGATTCGATCGAAACGACGACGGAACTGAAAAATGACAGGACAGCGTGCAACATTTTGGTGGGGGAGAAGGAGTGCGTGTACAGTCAAATATGTCCATTTTATGAGGAGATGTGGAATGATTTATCACCCATGATAATATCTGGCCAACATGACCGGATCAAAAAATGGGCGCAATGCTTCAGTGTTCCAGCTACGGGTGGAGCCTTAGCAGCAAGTAAAGAGGGCGCTGTTTCACAAGTCAAGTGCGCAAAGGTGGGCATATCAGTTTTCGCGACTCCTAACCAGGAAAGTATGTAATTGTCTACGTCCTCATAGCAATAAACAGGAACATGTTTGAGGTGGCCCGCAAAGAGTCGGAACGAGAAATGGTTTACGTCATCCACAAGGGACACACTACAAGGTCGTAGATGGCTTTGGTTACAGACGTCGTTTTCAATCAATATTCTGCTCTCTCTCGTCACATTTTAGAAGAAAATACCAATTTCGGTTCACTGCATGGGTATACATGATCCACTTTAAATGAAGACTACAAAACCTATGTTCTTAATTTCAGCTACTGTGAACCGATAATGGACCAACTCCAAGTTTGTTCTGGTTTAATCAGAACAAGGACGTTACACAGGCACAACTGAAGCCGTCAAAAATAATTACCAAAGCTGAAACATGTTCAAGCGATTCAGATTGCCGAAACACGCCCCGTGTAGTTCGCCGGAGCCAGCTAGCGCCCTCCTATCATGCTGCCGCGTCTCAACACTGAAAACAGGCTGCTTTCCTATCCTCTCTTGAGGTTGAGTTCGGGCGGCTTATTCTCATCATTAACTGTATATGTTCGTATTAGTTCATGGGTCGGCCGCTCAAACGCTTGAAACGTACAATCGGTTATCGCCGGTATAGTTAGTGGCAAGCAACATGCAATATGCATATGGTGGCGCCCATGTACGTTCCAGGAGGGTTAATGTTTAGATAAGTGGGCTGAATGTCTTTGCATTAAAAAAAACCATTCGTTTCTGTGTTATTGAAAATTATTAATGTTATTTGGCAAAAATTTCTATTGTGTCAGGCTTTGTAAGCCATCTCAATATTTTTTGGCAGCTGTTCAAACATCGTGTTAAAAAAATGTGTAATCCTGCTCCAAGAACTGTGTTCCTGGGTCGTACTCCCGCAGTTCAAGTGTGAGAACAAGACACCCGTATCAAGAACAGGACACCCGGACTTGAACCCACGGACGTATATTAAAAAAAAAACTGGACTTGCAACGCCTTTGTATGAAAAAGAAGCCAACCAGCGGCCATTTTACCGAGCCGAATACAAAAGCGTGGGTTGGCTCCCTTCTATTGGCGTCAGGAAGAACAAAGGCGGGCATTGCCAGGAAAGCTTTGTATTCGGCTCGGTAAAATGGCCGCGAGTGGATTCAAAATGACTCTATAAGCTGATTATGGGCATTGCGAGTCCAGATTTTATTATACACGTCCGGACTTGAACCTAGTATTTCTGGAAAAATCCCATGATTCTTTTGTTTGTATACAGCCGAATGTTGACGGTACGCGTACGGTACAGATGCAGTTCCGATGCAGGATTTATGTCGCACGAGGGCGCTATCGTATTTGAAGCGCTTGGCAGACAGCAAGCCACAAGGCGGTTTCGAATAAACACCATTAATTTAGTCAACCACTAATCAATTGTACTTGGTGATCTTGTTACACATTGTGCGCACAGAATATTGTGTGCACAGGGGATTTGTAATTTATAGTGGTGAGTATCAAAGGGTTGGGAGACCCCCCCCCCATATCTTGTTAGTTCCCGATTTTTCCTGAGGAAGCGTTCTTTTGGCACCAGTGAATTCTCTAACATAACACAAACACCATAAGGAGCTAACTGCGCAATCCTGTCCGCTAGCTTTTGACAGCGCTACCATGGCCTGCGCCTCAACCCCCAATCCAGCAACACCGTGGTTGATGCAGCCATGTCAACCTTTCAGCGGCACGGATACACTGAATACCCCTTTCAGCACGTCTGCCTTTTCCTATAAAAAATAACGTGATCACACAGCGGAAATAGACTCAGATACCCGCAAAAATAATAATATAATAATAATAATGGCATATGAGTATTATAATTGGTATTTCTTTTCATTAACTAATTAAAGATGTTAATTTTTGAAGGACTCGGAAGCAGGATGTCTATCATGGGCTACTACGAAATTTTGTAATAATGTTTGTCGTCGCTTTCATTTGTCATTAAAACTTATTTTTATTTACTTTTCGGTTTTTTTTTACTAGCTTGAACATTAATACTAGTTCCAGCAAATTATAAACTGAGTCCCACATCAAAAATGAAATCTTAACTTGACAAGTGTATTGTAACATAATAATGTGATTTCATTTTAATCTAAATTCAACTTATCCAGTTCTTCCCGGTTATTATTAACCGTTTGTGAATGTCACAATGCAAATTGGAATAATGTCATAAATACAAGTGCAAAAGTAAACTTTTTCCAAAGTATCGACCACCAAAATTACCAATCCTGTATTAAATTCTAAACTTGATTGCACAATTGCATCAATAAATTGCTTTTGCCTACTCCCGCTTTATATTTTTTTTAAAGTCTTGCCATTCCATTAAATCTTTCAATCATATAATGGCTTTATGTAACAGATCAAAGATTCCTATAGGGTATCAACATTAACAAATGTTAAGGACTTTGATGATGACTTATTCTTAAATGACATCAGGAAATCCACATTGATAGTACACGCTTCAACCTCGTTAAAGTTTTAAGAAAAAACATTTTGAATTAGTCAGCTCCTGCATGAACTTCGACAGAGTTTCCCCGCTAGGGCAACCAACTTAAGGTATAAAAGCAGCAAGCTAACCAACCATCAAAGATGGAAGGGGGTCCATTGACAGGGGATTTAATTGTCAAGCAAATTTAGTGCTTTTCAAACCCCTTCTCCTTTTCCCTCTCTTACTTTTTCTTTTCCCGTTTTAATTTTCTAATTCCTGGGGAGGGGGTTCTTGGGGGCCGTCTCGCAACGCCCATATACGCCTACCCAACACCCGTATTAGCCAAGCCGGGATTAATTAACGGTGTCTAATTGCGTAATGGGTCCCATTCTGAAGTTCTTATTTGGGTGCGGGTTTTATCCGTTTCTCACGCAGTTTCTCGTAGTAACTCAAGGAGGCTTCTACGCACTGGCGGACATCTTCGGGAAGGCTCTCGTTCATCGGTTCGGCATTGCTAGGCTGCTCGAATCCGGAACTCCGGAATGCCTTGTTGAAGAACCTGACAACCTTATTGGCATTCATCAATATCTTTGGGGTGATCCATGTTTTGGTGACTGAGTCGCTTGAATCCCAAGACAGAAGTTCTCGGCTGTAGGGAATGCCCATCTCCCGACAATAGGCCGACAGGATGCCTTCGGGGTCAGCCAGAAGATCATCTGAGTCTATGATTACTGGGTCTTGCCCAAGATGCTTCTCAACGTACATCGCCAACTCGTAAAGCTCCTTGAATCCACGGCCTGCAGGAAAGATATATTCCGGTAGGCTCTGTATGTCATTTGTGAGACTGGGGAAAAAATTCTCCAGATGCTGTTTCCATGATAGGTGTACTTTTGCTGGGTGGCGAATTAGGAAGCTGTATTTGAAGCCCTGGGGGAGTTCATCGTACCTTGAGTCCAGATAGTGTGCCATGTCTTTACACACCAGAATGTTCTTGTCTCTGTAAGACGCCTCGAGTATCTGGTCTCGGATCCAGCCGTACGTAGAGTGTTTATCATCGAAACCTTGGATGTCATCGTCGTTACTTGCATGATTGTACGTCTCAAACAGACGCTTGTCCATGGGGTTGTTCAGATCGGGCCAGTCCGACTTCTTCCTCTCCGGTCCCACGTGGAAAGCACAGTTGTACGGTTCGTTCACGACCTGGATACCGTCGACAAAACTGAGACACTTCAGGAGAACGGTGGAGCACGTACGGGGCACGCACCAGAGAAATATACGATTCATGTTGCCAGACATGTTCACAGCGAGGTAGGTTGTTGAAATTATATGTGGAATTACAAAACTGAGCAGAGTGCAGTGCTGTTTTAATTATACAGGAAGCCAGAATAGCAATCGGACGACTGTTGAATATAAACGCACGCACGACCATTATGACCTTGACCGAAATATATGCATTCTGTATTGTGGCCTCATCATGATAACAACAAAGTCAGAGATTTCATACAGGGTCGATCGCTCCGACTTGTATAGCTGTAACGATTTTTTCATAAACACAATTTTTCTCTAATTTTGTACTCCTCTTCAATATATGAAAATTCTGTTACATTTCCATTTGCTTCAATGTACTGAAAAGTGCACTTTAAAAAAACTTAAAATTACCCGTGCTTTCCTGGACGAGGCTAAGGGCGCTGTTGGCGTGATGTCATCCAAGGAAGACATAAGCCGTGTCCGAAATTGGTTTCCGGAGATACGGCTTGGTCTATTGTCTGTGCGTCCAGGCTGTGCCTATTTCCAATGGTTGCTCTGCACAGAATCTCTATAGTTTTATCGGCGAATTGTGTAAAATTGACCTAGTCGCTTTTACCGAGATATAAGGTAAATTTACGTACCCGTTTTCAAAGTAAACTTTTATCAAACCTTTAACTTTGAAAAAAAAACTTAACCTACAACTGTTTGATATATTTACCTAATAATTAGCAGCTTCGTGTAGCATAGGCCCCCTATTGCAGTTTTCTGAAATTTAATAAAATACGTGCCAGTGGGTATTTTTCTCTGTGTTTGTGGCACTCATTCACAGTATGGACTTCATTGTTACAGGCATTTCAGTTCGTAGGTTCAAAGGTTCATGTATGCGTCATAGGTCAATGTCAACGTCCGCGACAGGCCTTGTACAGGTACAAAGGTTAAAGAAAGGACACACTCCTGTATTTTTTAATACACAGTAAACACACAATGCACGCTTAAATTCCCAGTGTGAACATGGCTGACAACATGAGTCGTATATTTCTGTGAGGCGTGCAAAGCACGTGCTCCGCTGTTCCCTTAAGTGTCTCAGTTTTGTCCAGGGTCTCCAAATGACGAATGAACCGTACTTTTGTGCGTACCGGCTCGGACCAGAGACGAAGAAGTCGGAATGGCCCGACCCGATCAACCCCATGGACAAGCGTCTCTTCGAGGTGTACAACCATGAGCAACGACGATGACATCCGAGGTTTCAATGAGAGACACTGCACGTACGGCTGGATCCGAGACCGGACACTCGAGGCATCTTACAGAGACAAGACCATCCTGGTGTGTAAAGACATGGCTCACTCTCTGGACTTAAGGTGTGACGAACTCCCCCGGGGCTTCAAATACAGCTTCCTAATTCGCCACCCGTTAAAAGTACACATATCGTGGGAAAAAACATCTTGGGCAAGACCCAGTTATCATAGACTCTGACGATCTTCTATCTGACCCCGAAGGCATCCTGTCGGCCTATTGTCAGGAGATGGGCATTCTCTACAGCTGAGAACGTCTGTCTTGGGATGCAAGTGACTCAGTCACCAAAACATGGATTACCCCAAAGATGTTACTGAATGCTAACAAGTATGCCAGGTTTTTCGACAAGGCGTTCCAGAGTTCCGGATTTGTAAAAATTGCATCATGATAGTTGTTCGTATACAGTAAACCAGAATGATACGAAAGGCTTCCTTTTGCAATTTTCTTCAACTGTTGAAGTTGCTTCTTCGTCAAACCAGAGAGCACACCGTAGAAAAAAAACATTATCAGTATAAATATTTCTCACATTTATTTACTTTTGCGCTGTAAGAAATGGCATCCACGTTGTGGAAAGGTTAAATTCGAACACGCACAACACATTTTAACAAAGAATTTCTTCCTTTTATAAGTGCTATAGAACTGCTTGGCGGCATTATATGCCGATACAGTAAATTCCTGTAACTCCGGCTACAAGTCTGCACACTCAAGACCCCAAAATGTGTGACGCCTTATGTGAAGGCCGACTTATACTGCAAGTTGTCATTTTGCATACTAACATGAAAACGATGACCCGTGCGTACATAATTTAAAATTTAATGTGCTTGTATGTAACTAAGATGCCGGACAAAATATCTAGACGGAGACACAATGGTTTCTGTTACAATGCTCGGCAAGCTTTTGACACTGATACACTACAAATAAATGGCACAACGCATTGCCGGCCAAGGCCAAAAATAAATGATCTAAAATTTGGAAACCTGTAGCGGTTTTCAATCAGTGACTGCACTTCGTTGCGAGTGTACCGTACTTTGTCACAATACCTGCCGTTCCACTGAGCGAGTGGAGTTGAACTTCGACTTTGACTAGAATTATTTACATATCAATGAAGTCAGAAAATCCCTCGCTCCAACACTGACCCACAGGATTGTATTAGGGATGACTGGTTCTCTTTATGCTGGTAACAGGAAGAAGTTTATGATTGTAAAGAGAAACTCCCGGGTTTAAAGCAAAAAAAAATGATGTAAAGCTCAGTCATCGGATTATTAAAGTTGTATATTGCTATATATCCTCTGTAGTACCAGATGATTTGAAAATACGTAACGTTATTCGAATACACAACGACGACACATGTTTTGTAAGTAACTACCACCCCATTTCTATTTTACCATGCTTTTCTAACACATAAGAAGGACTTGTGGCAAATCAAATGTATATTAACTATTGACACAGTAAGGAATTAGGACCCACTGTCCATCTCAACCGGGCCTATTTGATCTCATTTATTGATAAAATAAGTTCAACACTTGACAACTCTTTGGATACCAGGGTATTCGACTTGTCAAAAGTGTCTTACAAGTTACACTATGGACATGGTACATGTGTGTATTCTTATTAGAAAACTAATTAAAATTTGGTCTAAAAATATGGAGGACCTGACTTTTTTTTTATCATAGGAGTATCTTTTTCAAAGGCAAAATAACAAGTGAACGGGATAAACAAGCAAACAGAGAATCAAGCATAGATGAATGCAAGAGGACAAAAGGAAAGGTCAAGAAAGCTGCAGGCTGGAGAAAGGGGCAAAGGATAAAGGGGACTGCGTGAAAGACGTGGTTGAATAACAAAGGAATGTAAGGTCGGAGAAGATCAAAGAAAAATACATTGGATGGAACTGGACCCCAAACAAAAGAGAGGGAAAGAAAAGAGTGTTAATTAGTAGTTTCCTTCTTCGATGTTCAGGCCATGGGGTTGTATGGTGAGGGCGTGTGATCCACAGCTTCTATAATGTTCATTGTTTGTGTATTTACTTGTTATACTCTGCCTCATGGTGGCGCTCTTCAACTCCCTAGGTCATTTAAGGTCAAACACCATTCCGGCAGCGTATTTTTTATATACACCGTAGCCTAGTGTTTTTTTTCTGAGGTGGCGGGCGCCAATTTGCGCATGAAAAGCCGACACTAGTACTGGGTACATACACAAGCGCATGGGATTTAACGAAACATGACATAATTGTTAAAACAGTCTAAATGCATGTCACTAAAAACTACGGAAGCCCGTTAGGGCTACGGTGCGTTTCTCTTTCACGGCTGGGTCTTTGCTTCCATCTGAGCTGAGAGCAGAATGGCTAAAAAAAAACTGTTGAAAAATGGTCCTAAGTGCCCCAGAAAGTTGAGGGTTGTCACTTAAAAACAGTTGCAAGCAGACTGTGGAAAATCACTTTTCGGGGGCAATTTTGTTTTGAGGGAATAACTCAAAATGTAATCGGTTAACCCACAAAAAATTGAAGAGAAAGTGAAAGATTAGGGACCATAAAATAATCAACGTGTGTTTCAGATGCCTCAGGGATGTTGGTACGCATATTATTGGGCCCCAACAATGCCGATTTTACACTGTTTTAAATGGGGCTTGAATTAGTGGACTACACCCTACAGGTGTTCCTGATTGTAGGTTCCTGTCCAAGTCATTATGCGTCACGAGTCACTGGTCAATCTGACAACAGACTCGCCAGATCAGATATAGCCTTTGATCAAGGCGCCCGCGACAAAATGGATAGTCGCTCAAGAGCGAGGAGAGCTAGAAGAGAGTAGTTTAACACCAAACCAACGCACCAAGGAAGACTACACGACGAACCGCCCGGCGCACGCCCGCACGAAATTAACCATGCATGCGCAAGCGCCGCAGCGCGCCGAGATGTGTCGTGGATGCACCGTTTGTAGTTCGTCGTGTAGCTTTCTCCGTGCGTTGTTTTGGTGCTAAACTAGTCTACTCTAGCTCCTCGCTCTTAAGCGACTATCCATTTCGCGGCCGGCGCCTTGATCGAAGACTAGCGCAAACAGGCAGCTGTGTGTAAATTTGATTCATATACTGTACATGTAGGTGTGTAGAGTACATGTAGAGCTCTGTGGTTCGATCCAACGCACCCTTCCCTGTATACTCCCATTAAAGTCACATCCTTGACGTGAAAAAGGCCCGATCTTTTTCACAAAATCGGCTATATAGAGATGGAAATAAAAGTTGATGAAAAAGGCCAATCACAACAAGCTAGGGAATGTCCAAATGACACCTGATGCCCGTCAACGGACAGCGAGTCAATACAATGGGCTGGCTCCACAAGTTCGCGGTAGTACAGAGGACCGTCACTCTGGCAGCCGCTTCGCGAGTTTCGCCCACATTATTTTTTTCTGGGTCGGGTGATGTCAATCTTCCTAAGATCGTTCCATTAGTAGTTAGGAAACGGTGTGTTCTAGACCAACCCCCTTTCCCCCGCTTCTCAGACCAGAGGGGAATTCCCCAGCCACCACGTGACCTTTTACCTTTTTATGTGACCTTTGACCTCCAAACCCCAAAAGGGAATTCCCCAACCACCAACTGGTCCACAACTCGCACGGTAATTCCCCAACCATCAACTGACCCATAATTCCCACGGGGAATTCCCCAAACTGAAATTGCTATACCGAATACACTCTTTTTATAGAGATGGAGAACTTTTTCATGAGAAATTAATGAATGAATACTATAGTAATTAGTTAATAGATATA